CTAAATTCATAATCAGTAATATGTAATTGAGTAAAGGCAATAATGTAACAATACTTAGTCCAATACAGCAGACGGAAGGGCCCCACCATCTCTCTCAGCCTTCCAGCAGCTGTATGAGAGGCTGCGGAGTGGTGCTGCCCTCCACTGGACACTGAGCAGTACTGATGTTCACTTTTCTACTGTATTTCATGTTTATCTGACAAAAAAAAAAAGATGACAAATCTGAACTCAGGGGCCAGTTATTATAGTTATTCCTGGGCTCTCGGGCACATTTCGTAGCCCTCATCAGCGGATATACTTTGCTCAGTTGTCATGGAGATGGAATGAATGAACTAGAAGAAGCTCATCATTTAATGTTTTGTTTCCTACTTCCATTCATGTTTCCCAGAAGGCTTCGCGGTTATTTATTTATATTACCAGCTCTTAATGAAACACAAATGCCACTGATAGACCAACAGAAAAGACTATAGGATATTCATGTTGTTATTTGAACATTACACAGTTTGATTTTATAGCTCTTTAACGGTGTGGATTTGATTTTCAAATATCTGGATCGATTAGATTAGGCTTTATAAACCATTCATTATTAATGTATTATCATCGCCATGATCCCAACCTTGAATTTTGAATATAGGTTATCTATTTTTAATGAATTCCAGATATTTTGACTTTGGCAACCAGTAAGGAGATTTTAAATTATTCCACACTGAATATAAAGTTAATAAATTGCTATCTGGTGTTTCAAAGTTTGCATTTTTTTCTTTCATTATTTTTGTCCTACGGGAGAATAAGAGACAAAGTCTGTGTCTTTCTTCTGAATTCAACTCCTGAAAAAACAGCAACCCACAATATTGTGGACATTTCAGAGTCATCTCAGCTTTCACGTTGTAAATTTAATACTGTCACATGTTTTGAAGTTATTGAATTTGTCCAAACAGACAGCTGCTCTTCACAGTTTCAGTGTTCCGGGTGAAATCCTCGTCTTTTCAACAGATATTTCAACGTGAGTAAATGTCAGTTTGCAGTTTGTGGAGCCCTTTGCTACAGTTTCCAAACTCTCCTTGTGACAGCAGAGGACCCGCTAAAAAAGAAAAACAATCACATGTCGGGGTGGCTGTGTTGAAAACGAACGGGAGAGCGCAGAATATCAGGCGCTCTTCTTCTGCTTTTTGCGGGTGCCGCTGCGCTGTGGCGCAACCTTTCTGCCAGGTCTGTCTCACCATGACGCAGCTCCATGAGACAAACACAGCGAATAATTCACTCATGCGCTCGGCTGTCACACACGGACGTTTAAGGTTATCAAGCGTTCAAAGGAGAATGTAACGAAAACACAGCTCACGGTCAAACGACACACTTCTGTAATTTCGTTGTATTTAATATGATTCGACCAAACATGTTTATCTCTTTTCTTTAACACCTGTCTCTGTTCAGGCAGAGGTAGGCTACTCTGCAGAAGGAGATGAATTTCTTCTTCAAAATCCAACAAAACTCTTTTTATTTTTATTTTTAATAAAACAATATTTATTTTTAGTTTGTCAAGTTTGAGACTCACACCAAATATTCATGTTGAGAAGAAAGGTGAGGGACATATATGGTCATTAAGTAACAGTTTAAAAAACACATTAGACCCACTCTCTGTGGTTATCATATTTTTAAAATAGGCAGACAATGAATGAGTAAGAAAATGAACAGGTAAACACGACAGGTGCCGCACAGCCTCATAACTCTGGATCATTGAACGAACAAACGCTCTTTCGAATTAAAAGCCTTGACAATTTCTTATCAAAGACAAGTTCGGGCAAAAGGCTGGAGGGGGTTGGGGGTGAAGGGGGGCGGGGCACGAGCAAGGGGCATAATAAGTGATGAGATGCGTCTTGTTAGGAAACATCACATGTTTGTGCGCTCTGCGGCCCTAGATTAAATTAGTGAGCATCAGGGCAGACAGGGGAAGTACTCGGGGAAGCTGGACGAGCAGAGAGTGGGACAAGAGCTCTGTCGGTGCAGAGAACCACTATTTTGGGAGGTGGACAGGACACTTTCTTTTTCTTTTCTTTTCTTTTCTTTTCTTTTTTCTCCTTCCCTGCTGAACAGTGGAAATGGAAGCCTTGTCATATATTTTTCTTTTGGCTTGTGCCTGCTTTGTTTATCAGGCTGATGGACGCAGAAGTAAGTGCTGCTTTAAAGTGGGACGGTCACTTTATCATATAGTTGAGCAGTAACAGAGGTCTGATAGCTATAGGCTAGAAGTATTAAATGCAGACTCGTGTATTTACTAAATGTCTTTGACTCAATTTAAGTATCCACACTGAAATCACAGGATTGCTGCAATCTCACGTGTTCAGACTTAGAAATATACTGTGGCTTAATTAAGTGTAAAATCGACTTTTAAATATGTTTTCCTCGGGGTTTCTGTATCACCTGTCCTGTCATCAGCTCTGCAGTCAGAGTCCCATGAGCTTAATTAAGGCGTGTGCCCTGGCTGTCTTCCTCTGGTCACACTGACACTGAGCAGCAGACACTCACTGAGAAAAAACAGAAAAATTATCCACACAAAGGAAACCATTTGAGACTCATGAAAAAAAAAAAAAGAATAAATCAAAATCTTCAATCGACCAACGATTTTGTTTCTAACTCTAATCAGATTTGATTCAAAGGAGAATTCAACTATTCAAAGACATTTTTATTGCACTTTATTCATTAATAAATAAAGGCAAAACTACATACGTAGTAGCCTATAGTGAGTGTCTCATGGTTTGAGCTGATTAGTCGCAGATGTCTGTTTACACAAAGCTGTTTCGACTTTTTCCTTTAATTAAATTATAGACGGAATTTGTTGTTTTCGTCTGTCATCCATAATTGATGGATTTAAGATATGGCTCAAATGAAAAGGAAACAAAGGTAAGGAGTTAGTTATAGAGAGCAAGTTAATTCACAGATTAACGGATTTTAACGGGATCAGATAAATTCCTTCAAGATGATAATGAATGCATATGAACCCAAGGCCAGGCAGCATTATGTGCTCTGTAGGGAAGTTATTATCACCTCCACAGGGCTGCTATACTTGGTGTTAAAAGGTTATACACAGTTTTCTACATGTTTCTTTTCTGTTTCTATGAGTTTGACTCTTCACCTCCAGTGATGGATGTATTGTCTGCATCCACCAGCTCTTTGTTCAAATGGAGCTTTTGCTGAAATATTTGATTTCTCAAGGAAGCCTGTCATTGTTATTATTTTGACTTTGGACTTAAAAGAAAAAATCTTTATGCCATCTGAAAAAGATTTAATTTCAGATGGGTTTCATAGATTCATTCTTTTTGTTATTTTCTACACTGTATGCCAGGTGATAGGCTACAGCATAATTGTTTAATTTCACGATAAAAGAAACATAATTTGATTATAAAACGATAAATCTGTTCTTCAAAGACAAGACTTGTTCCATGAGAGATTGTTAGGGACATTTGTAAAATAAACCTCAGTTAAGCAGTAAATTACTTTGAATTATAATAATGAAGAAATTAAGATTTTTTTTCTGTATTTTCTTCCAAAAGAAAGTTCAAGAAAATGTCAAGTATATTCATGCATTTGAGGACCTTGGACAATCCTAAGTTTCAGCTTCCGCCAGTGAAGGGCACATTTCATGGGGCCTTGGATCCTTAAACTGTGCTCTGGTCTCTCTCTCCAGCATACAGTGACATGTTCCCCCACAAGCATGCCCTAGCAGGAAAGTTTCCTTTTCCAATTCCACCAATTCCTGGCTGGGATCCTGACACAAACCCGTGGGACGATTACCTCTACCCACCACTAAACCCAAAGCCAAAGGAGCTCATGCACCGAAGAGGTGAGTAGGGTCATTTTTTTCCACTTCAAAAATGTAATATCATGTTTTAAGTTGCTAACCTAGAACATCCGCCTCTGCAGGTAAACCCAAGGTTCGTCTGACCAGTGACAGTCCAGCTCTGAACGGCTCTTGTATCTCCTTCACTGCCAAGCTGGAGTACCCTCCGTGCCAGAAGGAGGATGCCAGTGGGAACCTTGTCTGGGATGATCACTGTGAGGACGGTACGGAGCTGGAGGCCTCAGGTGCTGTCAAAAAGCCAGGCCAGGCCATGCACCCTCAAACAGATGACATCACACTCCACCACCAAACACCATTGTACCATATAAGACAGCCCATACTACACTATACATCAAACACAAACACTATCACAGGAGCATAGTAATAAAAAATTCAATTCAAATTTTTTACTTGATTTGTTTGCCACATGTGGACAGCAGAAAAAAGCTGTAAACACAGCACTGACAAATATTACCTTATAAAGTTGATATGGTGAACATGTTGTTAGCAAACAGTTGCCTTTTTACACATCCAGCAGAAATGAAGCGACATTGGCTTTCATTTGGAGTTGTGTTTTTGGCCATCCCACAAATGTAAGTCCAATCCTCACTCGCTTTTTAGCTCTTTTCTTTGGTCTCCTCCAATTTGCTAAATGCTCCACTATGTTCACCAGTTTGTCGCTAACTTTGTCTGCTGTTTGGTGCTGGGCAGGAAGTGTACAGTGGCTATATCACACACACATATTTTTGCTAAAAACAGCTGCCTGCTGGTGCTGGAAACAAGGCCAGTGAGACTGAACCAAGACAATAAGAGTTGCAGCCTGTGAATTCAATACAATGCTGAAAGAGATTAAATTGGTCTGTAGAGCTGAGGGAACTGCAAAGTTGGGAGATAATTATGTCTGGAATTTGTCACAAGCAACCGCTTTCACAGTACATGTACTCATTTGACCCATTCTTAAAATAAAATGTGAATTAGTGCAGCTTTCAATTATAACACAAGCTTTTACTTTACTCTCTTCTCCTCTGTGCAGCCAATGGACAGGTTCGTTCTGGCTACGTGTACAACTGGACTTCTTGGTTGGATGACTATGGCTTCGGAAAGTGTACAGACATGACAAAATGCAATGTGTTCCCTGATGGGAAACCTTTCCCTCAGAGCAATGACTGGAGACGCAAGAGCTACGTCTACGTGTGGCACACAATGGGTGAGACACAGGTTTACAGACTTGCACACCTGCACACGCAGGAACAAAGTAAGAAACTATCTGTTTTCCTCTGTCCAAGGCCAATACTATGAGACGTGTGATGGCTCATCCTCGAGCGTGACCATCAACACCACCAGCATCCCACTGGGGGCAGACGTCATGGAGATCATGGTCTACAGGAAGCGTGAGCGCAGGAAGTACAGTCCCCTCACCACCGACAACACCGTCTTCTACGTCACAGGTGAAGACAAACCTTACACACTCAAGCTCATACATCTTCATCTGTGTACGTGTTTCAGCCAAACAGACAGACACAAACACAAAGAGGAACCTGGAGAATGAATTATTTATCACTCCCTCAGATAAGATCCCGGTGGTGGTCAACATCTCCCAGAGGGCTGCGGTCAACGAGTCGAAGAACGTTTTCTTCCGTGGTGAGGATGTGGTCTTCAAAGTCCAGCTTCACGACCCCAGCGGCTACCTCAAAACTGCCGCAGCCATTGACTACATCTGGGACTTCAGAGATGGCAACCAGCTGGTAACACACCGTGAAGTGACCACGCACACCTACAGCTCGCTGGGGAGCATGAGTGTGAAGCTGGTGGTGGAGGCGGCGTTCCCCGTGGAGTGTCCACCAGCTGCTGCCACCACGACTCCGAGGAGCTTCACGCCACCGCCTCCTACAGGTGCGAAGTAACTGTACAAGCATTTTGAAAACATTATTCTGAGTTTGTTTTTACTTTCAGCACATTTACCTTAGTTTCTCTTTTCAATGTTTTTAATGTTACCAGTAGGGGGCGCAAAAAAATTCAACAGACACTTTAAAGTTAAAGGATCAATTCAGCGTTTTTGCTGTGGGCATACTTGCCGAGAGTGAGGTGAGATGATTGATACCACTCTCGGGTTTTTATTGAGGCACATACAACACAGACACACAACGAAGGCGTCACTGGTGTAGTGGACACTCTGGAGTACACTTCTACCTCACTGCTGCAACTTGAGATTTTCAGCTGATGTTAAGTTACTTTAAATATGTTGCCCTTACTGTGCTGGTTTATTTTTTTTTAAAAAAAGGTTTTTTTTGCGCTCTAGGTGAGCTCTGGGTGGAGGCAGAAATAATTTGAGCAGAGACAAAATATCTCAAATCTGGAGCAAACAAAACCAAAAGTATGTGCATGACTAGATAGCACTGGAGGGAAGTGGGAAAATACTCCAGAGAACCCAAGGTTTCCTGCCGGGGTTAAGGCACCAACTATGAAGTGCAACTTCCCCTGGTTGGTGTCTGGCCTGGGACCTTTTGTCCCTCATTCTCACTTTATTAATGGCTTGATGGAGAAGACACAGCAACAAGCGACTTTGCCATCACAGATCATTATAAAGTTAAATTACAATGCAGAGATGTGTCTGTAATGTTCATATCTATATTCCTGTCTGTCTTCCTCCAGAGGCTCCCACACCTCCATTCGGTACTCATGCTGTTACTGTCAAGATGGAGACCACACATGGTGAGGTTTCACAGCTGACACTGGGTTTTTGTTTATTTATGTGTATGAGAGAGAAACAGAATGAGGCAGACAGAGGAGGTGCATGTGTCCGAACAGGAGCTCATTCATTTTTAATAAAGAATAAGTATCTTGATAAATACACAAATGCTTGTCCACTAAGTCCAAATCTTTGCCCCTTGTTTCCCGTTTCAGTGCCACCCAGCACCAGCCGGCCCTTCCCCCGCTCCTCTCCCAGTGCCACAACAGGGTTGCCGACCACCGAGCCCCTCCCGCCTACTGTTGCCAGTGCCACCCCAGAGGCCAGGCCCGCCACCCCGGCCTCGCTCCTCAAAAGACGCCTCAACAGCAACGGGTGTTTCCGCTACGCCTATGGAACCTTCATGGGGAACATCACCATTATCGGTAGGTGGGAGGCTGCAGTTTCCCTTTTCACTGTAAGCTGATGGTGTCTGGTGTCTGTCGGCCACTTGGTCCAAATAAAAATAAATAAATATCTCAACAGTTATTGGATGGAGGGTGTGTACAGATATTCAGGCAGCTCATCGGGATGAACTTCAATAACTCTAGTGACCGCTGACTTTTCATCTTGTTCCATCATCAGCTCAAAAATTTAATGTTGTCCAATAGTTTGATGAACAAATACAAAATGCAGAGCTAATGGCACTTTGTAATTTTGCTATATATTACCATGCTAACACCCTAAACTAAGACAGTGAATATTATATGTTAAGCATCAGCATTTGTCACTTTGAGCATGTTAGAATGATGTTAGCATTTAGTTTACATTAAAGCTTAAAGAAAGCCAGCAACATGGCTGGAAACCGATACAGTGAGGATTAAGGACACATTGTTTTTAAATGTAACCCAAATCCCTTCTTTTCATTCTAATTTTCAAGTACAGAAGTACACAACATGGAGAGTAGACAAGTGACTTTGCTGTCGAGCTAAAGGAAAGTGGTACAGTCACAGAGGCAGCAGGGCAAATATCCAGTCAGAGGTTCTCATACCAAATTGGCCTTTTATGTCTTAAAATGGATTCTATACTAATTTTTCAGAATAAAAGAAAAAAACAAACAAAGGAAGGATTATAATTTTATATCAAAATTGTTGATCCTCACTGTTATGGTTGAGCTTTTTTATTTAAAACCTGTCTTTGTGGAGTAACACACACACACACACACACACACACACACACACACCAGCCTCCACTAAAAACCTTTGACCTTCATCATTTTAATATTATGAGAACATGATTATACATCTAAAACCAGCTGCATTAATCTGTTCTCCACAGAGCCAAAGCACGCGCTCAACACCCAACCAAACAGTCGCATCGTGGACGTGTCAGCTGCCAGAGTGACAAAAACTGACATCACCTTCCTTGTGAAATGTCTGGGCAGGTGAGTCTCTAATCATTTTATTATTCATTCTATTTGAATGTTAAACAGGCTATGTTTGTGTTAGTGTTTTTTTCCTCTGACGGCTATTGGGTGAAATCCAGTTTGAAACATTTTCACTTAGATTTCTTGCTCATATAAATAAATCAATACAACACAGAGACTGATGCCTTTCTGTTAAATGGGACATAATTAATTCATAAAGTTTACAATCGGCAGGATTATGGTGGTACGAAGAAAGTTACCATCAAAGTTTTGATAGATAAACTGGGAAATTAGAGATTTATTTGATAATCTGGTCAAGTCATAACACAATTCAAAGTACTTTAATAGTATTACTGTCTTGTCATTTATTTTTTGGCTTGAGCACAAAATGTATTGCATCACTGGTTGCTTATTTGTAGGGCTGTGGTCCACTTTTGAAGAGCTGACTCTCTTAAAGAAAAAATAGGTTTTAGGTTTTGAGTAATTTTATTTAACACTATTTTTTCATCCCTCATCCTCAGCATCCCCACTTCAGCATGCACCATTGTGTCAGACCCCAGCTGCACTCAGGTGCGTAACATCATGTGTGACGATGTGCCGCCGTCGGCAGCGTGTGAGGTGCATCTGAGGCGAACATTTCTGGAGCCTGGCACCTACTGTGTCAACATCACCCTGGAGGACTCCAGCAGCATGGCCCTCGCCAGCACCACCGTCACCATCAACAAGTCCCAGGACACACCTGGTTAGTTACACAGTATGTTTTTCCCATGCATGCTAATAATTTCTTACATTTTTTTTTTTTTTGGTCTGTGGCTCTGTCTGTCCTTCTCACTGCTGTTCTCTGCCCCTGTAGTGTCCAAGACTTCTCACACTGCAGAGGTGGTCCTCTCATCGAGCGCTGTGTTGGTGGCCGTCTTTGCATTCATCGCCTATCTAGTCTACAAGTGAGTAGTCATGACATGCAGGAGTAAATAAAGACCATATCCCTAATATTATACACCTGAGTAGGTTTTGGGTTTCCTTATAGATAAGTGCCACTCTTATCCCTTATTATACCATCATTATCTCTCTTTCCCCTCTCTCCCAGGCGTTACAAGGTGTACCGACCCATTCGTAGGTCACTGGTGGAGGACGCCTGTGGCCATGCCGGGGTCGGAGGTCCTATGGTCCGCCTGAGGGAGGCACTCTTCCCCTCCAGTGAGGAGAGCCGTCACCTGCTGACAGAGCGACGCCCCCTGTAGGCTTTAGAGAGCTACACCAAAGTGCCTCTGCCCTGAAGAAAAATAACTGCCCTATGAAAATCTAAGCAAAAATATAATCATTAAAAAGTCAAGATAGCAGGAATAGATTTGTGTCTACAGTAAAATATTAATAAATAATACTCATGTTTTTTTTGTCTTAATTAAGTTGCTACTTGAAAAGGCTAATGTTACAGAAGAATGTGATTGGTAGATGATTAACTAAAGAGGCTGTTATATGTCTGGCTGCTCATTTTAATCTCAGTGTGGATGAAGTAGTTGCTAAGAGATGAACTGGGTTCAAGTCCTGCCTGTTTTTTTTTTTTTTTTTATTAAAGCAAAACAAATGCTTTTGTGCAAATTCTGTGCTAAGCAGCGCTTTACAGAAGCTGTGCATTATTCTGCAATAACAGTCTAAAATTAAGTATGAAATCCTTGAGATGATTTTGATTTATAAGATTTATACTAAGCTTCCTCAAGTGAATTAAAATGGAAATTTTTTAATGTTAGACTCAAAAGCTAAACCAAAGAACTCATTGGAGACTATACACGACTAATAAAGATTGTGAACTAACCACTCATCTTTGAGCCCGTCGTTATGATGTGAATCATTTCACCAACTTTGAGTGCAAACCACAGATAATTCAAGGTTTGGAGAGATTGAAATGAATTTTTAGACGGTTGAGCAGATTAAATGTCAACACATCCACCATGGCAAGATAACCTGCCTGTAGCCAATGTTATACCCTATAGCAGTGGTTCTCAAAATGGGGTCCTTGAGGAGTTTCCATGCAAAAAGGGGAATATTTATTTTCAATGATTTCCTCCACTAGTAACAGTGACAGAATGTATGACTAGTTTGGTTATGGGTTTCAAACACTTTCTGTAATAAAACATCTAAAAGCAAAAATCTTATCAGATAGGGGTCCGTAGTCTCATTTGTCAGTTTAGGGGTCCTTGAAAAAGTTTGAGAGCCACTGCCCTATAGTAACTGTAGAGAAAGTATACTGTAAAAAGACAATATGTAGTATATCGCATACAATTAGAATATAGGATGGAGTGTTGGATACAACTCTGACTATAAAACACACAGCCAATATAAAATTTTCAGCAAGTTTTAACAAGAACCACTGTACCATTTCTCAAAATACACTTCCCAATAATTTTACACCCACTCAAAGGGATGTTGCTACTTGTCCGTCGCTCAGCTGTAACTACCAGGAATAAACATGGAAGTTCCCCTCGTTCTTGAGCAAAACAAAACCTTCACAACAGAAGAAGGAATCTTCAGCAGGTAAGTTTCATCTCACATTGTGGAAGGTCTACCTAAACCAAACTTGTTACTACCACAAGAACAGCAGCAGCACCATCTTTCGGTTTTGTGCCATTAAGCAATCTACCTTTGTAGAACATACATACCAATAGTTCTTACTATATCCGACACCGTGGCCCACAATATAAAGCTCTATATAAAGTTATATTGCCAGTTCAAGTGTAGATGTGTCCGAGAATTAGCGTCGATAAGGTTGCAACGAGAACAGCATCAAAACCAAACTGATAAAGACAAACACTAGCATAGTTTTGGAAAAGACATGGGGGGGGGGAAATGATAAACAACGCAGTTTTTTTTTTTTTGTTTTTTTTTTTATTATTCAGAGGCATTTGACAAGTGGAGCTGTGTGTGAGAGGGGAGGTGAAGGGGCACAAGCATGGTTGCAGAGGGGGGGGGAGGAGGGAATATCATGCTGAAGTTAGATCACTTTTCCAAAAAAACTCCGAGACCCAGTCCCTCAAATCTGTCCCATACCAAGAGGATGTTCCACGTTACACAGCCAAGAAATTCTAACAGAAGAAAATAGCTACCAAATCAGCGAGTGAGTGTAGCAACTGTGAAAGACAAAAGGGAAAAAAAGACAGGACTTGTATCTATTTTGAAGTCTTACAAATCAGAAACAAAAGGCAGGCCCTTTTTTTTTTTTAATAAACTGTATTTTCTCGTTTTAACTATTGAATGCAAAAATCAAACACGTGATTTGACCTTTTTCACAAAAAACCCAAGCAAAAGTTCAAATACATGTAAGCCACACCACCAAAAATAGAAAGCAGAAAGAAATAACCATCATTTGAGGATTTCAATTAAGCCAAAAAGAGTATATATAAACACTGGCAAAAAGAAAATATTTTTTGATCACTTTCAATTATTCTCTCAATTCTAAAGAGTACATGATTTTAGTTTAAGTTCTCATTCATATCTGGGGAAGCATGGGGAGGCGTAAAGAGGGGGAGGGAGGGGTGGGGGCTAAATTCTAACAAATAGAAGAATGCCTCTACTTCAAATATGTGTCTAAAGAGGTAGATCAAAACAAACTGCGGAGGAAGGGGGAGGAAGGGGGTGGGGAGGGTGGTTTGGCAGGAAGGAAGCAGGGAATTGGGAGGTGTCGGGGATAATTTTAAGTATCACTTGTGCCCCTCAGTTAAGCGCGGTGTTAGGATGGCGCGCCCATGTCAAAAGAAGTGTTCGCGGGGACTGAGGTATCAGTGCGCGCTGGCGCTCAGTGGGGGTAGGGTGGGGTGCCTAGTGCCACAACAACCCCCCACCCCCTCAGCTGAGGTAGACGGCGTTCTACTGTGGAAGCATGGATACACTCAAGCACTTTTACCACAATCAACATATTTACATTCGGCATGAAGAGAAATGAAATAAATTGTATTATATTTAAGTTTTGGATTCTTTTCCTCTACTCTTACCCCCAGTCAGGGATCATTCAGTATTTTGTTTGCCTTTTCTGGCTTTTTTTTCCCTGTATCAACAACAAATTGAAACATCAAGTTACATTTGTGGGTTACAGAGAAATGTCATTTTTGTTTAAATCATTTATTTTCCTAAAGCGCAAAAGAAAAAAGAAAAAATAATAATAATTGCGTCTATCAGTGTGACTCCCCCTACCCTCACCATGCAGTGAACGACGTTAACATTGCCTTGATGGCCTGGCTACAAGGGCCACTCCGAACTGACAAAGCTTGCTCTATGAAAATAAACCTAGTCGGGCTTGGACCTTGCTAAGACATTATCGTCAAGAAGGTGGCAGATGGCCTGGGAACAGAACAGACAATAAACAGACGTTCTGCTGACTCTCGGGCAGCTACAGAGAGGACCGTTACAGTCCACGCTGTAGAGTCCTGACCACAGCCCTCATAGGAAGGCGAAAAGGAAATTTTTTTTTTTGACAAATTAAAGTACCATTACCCATAACGATGTCAATCCCAAAACTAAATGGCATTGCTGTAATTATGTACGGTTGGCATTATTTGCATGTCTTAGTTGTTTTGTACTTTTTTCAGAAGATGGTGGACCCTCAGGGGAAAAACTGAGGCGATTTTCTCTCGATACTCCTGTCAGCCGCCAGCTGAGGGGGCGCCAACTCTTGCTCCAGCGCTGCTATGTACAAATAGACTTTATGTACAGGGTCATCTTAAGTCACACATACACATGTACAATGCCACCTAAAGCACCAGAGTTGAAAGCAAGGTCAGTTGGCAGCTGACCAAATTTTAAATTTTCTTAAAAAAATAAAAATGTTCAAAGACTATCAGCTTTATAAAGTATACAAAATACCACAAAAGCAAAATAAAAAAGAAAGGAACATTTTTCATATATATATAATCATTTTTTTCTCTTCTGAGGTACTAGATCCTGAGGTAGTTAAGTAAAATGCATATTAAATTGGTTTTCCTGGGCAGCAGCAGTTCGGCACCGTTTCCCTAAGTGTCAGTCGTGGCGCTGCCCTCACCTCTAAATATATATTCATCTATGTATATAGGTCTATCTATAAAATGCATCCGAATTTATAAAATGCCACTATCATTACAGGGGCAGGACGCCCAATATAATCCACCCTTTCAGGGGTCCTGTCCTGAAACAAGAATCTTTCCCCTAAACATGGCCCACCCGATCTGAGCCAACCCTCCCCCCAAATAAACCTCTCTGTTGGTCCGACCTGGACCTTGATAGCAATGCCTTTTCCTTTCCACAGAAAACTCATGAGAAAGCTTCATCAACCAATTAAACGCTACCAAAAAAAAAGAAAATAGGGAAATCAAAAAAAATAAAACAAAAAAAAAAAACAAAAAAAAAAACAAACAAAAAAAAAAACTAAATCTGAAGTCAACCAAAACATCTTGTCAGGTTTGAAGTACCACACCAAGGAGGTGATAGGAGGGGGATCCTTATTTCTTCTTTGTGTTTCTAGTGCTTAAAAGAAAAAAAAAAAAGAAAAAAGAAAAGAAAAAAAAAATATATAAAAAAAAAAAAAAAAAAAAAAAAAAAAGAGGAGGGGGGGAAATGTTTTTTTTCTTTTTAAACACACCCGTGGGGGGAGGAGGAGAGCGGTCGAGGGGTGCGTACATGTGAGGGCAGGTGACATTGTTGGGAGCCCTCAGAAGTACATTCTCACAGAGATGCAGAGAGGTGAGGAGGGTGGAGGTTAAGAGGCGTACGGTCTCTTATTAGCCACACTTGAAAGTTCTTCAAGTAAGACAAGGAGGGGTGGATGTTCGGTTGGTGATAACCTTTGACCCCTGAGATGAGCTTGACAACCCCTTGTCTTCTTCTCCCCCTGGACTCTGCTGCATCTATCCATCTGTCGAGTCTTCTGGCAGATTCAGTCACCATTCCTCCAGGTCCGCTGAACCTTTACTTCCTGCGGGGCAGTGAAGGTTGGGCTCCAGATGTGGGCTTGGGTTGCTGCTGCCTCCTCACCTGGGCCAGAATCTCCTGAATCTTCCTCTGGGCCAGCTAGATGACATGGAGAAAACGCTCAGATCACAGCACATCATCATCTAATTAGGAGTCCGTCAGGGATCCTGTGACATCCTCAAGTGATGCATTATGGTCAGTCCATGGTTTTCTCTGCATGTAGTGTCGCCATATGCAAATCCTCTTTGAATTAAACTCAATATCTAATTAAGATGGATTTTCATAAAATCACTTCATTTTGGATATGTTTGCATAACCATATATGCTCACTGAAAAATGGCTAATGAACAGTTGATAACTACAGTGAAACACTTAGTTCTTTGTTTATGCAAAAAAATATCTTACAGTAATTACCTTAATTCAATTAAAGGGATCATGTGCATCTGGGAAATGAGATCAGGGCTTTTGCCTTTCTGAGGTCCATGTACTGTATGTTTTCTTTATAAAGACCCACCTGGCATGCAAAGAAGTGTCCACTAATCTTGACTATGACCTGGTCATTCTCGTCCGGCGTCTGGTCCCTGGGCACCACCACTTCTGCACATGTCAGGTTCTGCAGCTCGTTCACCTGCAGCCACAACAGAGAGATCAAAGAGCAAACGGTTAAGAGTGAAGAAGAATGGAGAATACCATCAACACTTAAAGCTAAAATTGTTTCCATTTGAAACAAACTTCATGTAAGTGCCAAGGTAGCTTTAGAAGAGAAAAATTCTGGCTTGGGTTTGTTCAATTATTGTAGTGATTAATGGATCAGTATCTTGTTTACAGTTTTTCCGCCCTTCCCGATGACTCGTCCAGCAGCAAAGGAGGGAACCTTGATGTGAGCCTCCAGCTTCACCTCTTCCTTAGGTCCAAAGAAATTCTCTTCCTTCAGCTTGCCAAAGATGCGACACTGAGCCTGCAGCCAGACAGGTTGGAGTACAGATTAGTCATGCTGTACCTATGACAATTTTTCCAGAAAAAGAAAAAAAAAAAAAAAAGCCTCAGAAAAACTTAATTCTGGCTGTAAAAGAGCCACTAACAGACCTAACCAACAGCTGCTACCATCAAATTTAACTATATGGGCTGCATTTTTTTTTTAAATTTTATTTCTGCCAACAGTGTTTTATGCATTTCACAGCTGTGAAGGTACAGCACCTTAAACTGAGCCTCTGGCGGTCCAACGATGATGACCATCCTCTGTTTGGCATCCATTCCTTCTGCAGGGGCAATCTGAAGAAAGGCAGACAGCCGGCATTAAAAAACAGCAACCTTCACTTCCAATGCCTATCAGTCAAGTGACAACAGGAAGACAGCCGGCGTCGACATGTTATCATTAAGATGCACAACTTCACCGCCTGTCCGTCACTCACCTTGATTGAGGCTCCAGCAAAGTGTGACAGCTGTTTGATGTGTTGACCCTGTTTTCCGATGATGGCTCCCACAGCAAGTGCAGGGATGAACAGGTGAACCGTCTCCGACTCCGGGTGTCCCTGCTGGGTATAAACACTTTAGAACTTGTGTGACCAGGAAAGGATCGCACAGACACTAAACTGCAGACCACTTGCTCAACTGTAGCCACCAATACATAAACAGTGACTGTATCAATTCTTTCAGCTACGTGGGAGCTCATGCGCTCTACATTACCAGTCGGTCAGATATGGCAAATCAGTCCTGCAATACTATGAACACAGATGACACCAACACATCCAATTGGAGTTCTCAAAGTATTTACTAATTTCTGGTAAAAAAAAGAGCGCACTGTATGTTCCCAAAACAACAGTTTTTAGTGTGTTTTACACTCAAACAGTGTTAGCCAATTATTATTTAAAATATCTAATAAATGGCCACTTTTCAAAATATACAATCTGAATTTTCCACATGCATCAGTTTACTAATTCCATCTGAAAGACAGTCAGACTGACGGTGGCATCTTGATATGGAGCTCATGCTTTTGCCAGTCTACTCAATAATGGAAACGTGTCCTAATACAGATTATTTACAGAGGCCTTGTTGCAAACTGCTGCAGCACATCACTTGTTTTAGCAGGGTGTGTGATTGACTTGAGCTCTGGAAAGGGAGGTGGCTGCATCGTCAAAGAGGAACAACAAGTAGCACTGTTGATTTTGGATGGAGCCCAATATTCCAGTCAATGTGTCAGCTCAGGGCACGCCAACAACTTGTTTTGGCTGCTTCCAAATTCTGGAGCAGGGCTTTTGGTGCCGAGGATGTTTTACCCGCCGTTTGAAAAAACATGCACCTCACCAAACAACAGCAAATGCTTCATATTTGGCAGGAATAAGACTGTCAAGCATCTGGTGAGGCCGATATAAAATATGACTACTAGCCAAGCTTCTGTTGCCCTCCACGACTTGTGCCTCCTCATCCACCAGGCTACCTGCACATAGACTAGGGCTGTCTAAAGGTCAAAGATCAATGAGCAGCTGGAGTAGAACTTGGGTGTAGCAGACCCTGACCCCCAATCCCGCAGCGAGCAGCCACAAGCCGTGCAAAGCACTTTGGGACGGGTGACTTACAGCAAGGGGCTGGCTGCTCGCCGACGGCATAGAAGCCCAAAATTGCCCCTCAACCCCATATGGACTGCACTAAAGGAAAAAAGAAACATGGCACTGAGTTGCTTAAGACTAAATACTGTTAACAAACTGACCCAAGAGTTGAAGTACAGTGAGTTTAAGATAAGAAAACAGTCAATCATTGGTTTGTAATGATAATGTATGGGGCAAGCCACTGTACAGTATGCGACATGGAGACTTTTCACTTACTCCAAATGACGAGCATCCACCGTGGGCTCCAGGAGGTGGGACACTGGACATGGAGGGGCCCATGCCTGGTGCTCCACTGGGAAACAAACCCAAAGCATTTAGATTCAAGCCTGGAATCAGGTTGGACTGGAGCTGGAGAGAAAGGAGGACATTTTTATTAACACGATATGAATCTCAAGTTGCACACACTTGTTCATCAACACCACAATCCTTTAATACCATTCTAAGCCAATCCAAACTATTTTACACAGCGTTCACAGCTGTGCAATATGCAGTATGATTATGTAGCTTCTGATTACATACAGTACAGGTACCGTCTGAAAGTGCTTGAAGAGACGTCACACTAATACGTTTTAAATTAGAGAGAAGTCATACTCCATCATTGCTTTTCCTACATCCTTAGCCTGAAGTTTTCAGGGACAGCATGTAATACCACCTACGGAGCAGGAGGCTGGGAAACAAAGTAAACTATTGTCAATGAGCTGGTTTATTGAACATGCTGAGATAAGCTCTTCTGGTAACTAACTTTATTGATGTAGGGGGCATTTTGAACATCCAGGTGTGGGAAAATCCCCCCAGAAGATAGCTGTTAGACAAACTTGATACCTAAGTGTTGACTGTGGACAGAACTAAAGGATACAATCACTCCAACTCAAAACAACAGTTGGACTTTACTTGGGATATTTGTGAGCCTCAGACGGGCAAATTATCAAATTGTGGGCCTATCCACCCAGACTCTTGATGTATCTTTTTCTAGTACATTTTCTGTGTAAAATCTTAAATTGTGAATTTATTATGTCCACCTCGTAAAACAACATGCACACTGTGTAATAAGCTTTATTTTCTAGAGACAGTTCTGACATCAAGAGTTCAAAGCAGCTTTAGCTCAATGTCAAATTCTGAGAGAGAACTGTAGTCAATCACATTGAGTTTAAGTAATCTGAGGTTTCTAGGAAAAAAAAAAAAAAAAAGATCCTGATAATCCTGATGGAGAACCATTGTTGGCGTTTTTTTGTTTTTGTTTTTAAGTGTGCGTATTTATATGACAACAATTCAGGATTTGGAAGTGCTGCTATGGCAGCAGGTTTATGTGTATGTAAACACCATTATCTGATTTCCTCCCTAAAAATAGCTTTCAGTTATTTAGTTTCATGTTTTTATGTAAACTTACAATAAACCTGTCGCAGATGTTTCTTTTAAAGCAATTAAGTCAATGGAAACTTTCTACTAGAAGAGACCATTAGAATAGAATTCATTCACACTTCCCATTTGAGGGAATCATCTTTTTCCATGTTGAATAAGCACTGAAAAGGCTTACGTTCATAGCAGCCATGTCGCTCTCATACGATTCCCTGATCTTCTTCATCACCTCCTCTTCAGCTCTTGAGCACGCCTCGATGGCACCCTTCACTGTGATGGTCCGCTCTGGGTTGTACAAGGTCAGGTCCTGGAGACTGGGCAAAGCAATGGAGGGAGGGGAGGGTTTGGCATGAGAACAATTGTGAGTTTAAATTGTGACACCACAGCATACACAACAACATTAAAAATGCATGGTGTGCTAAGTGGCACTTTTATGAATGGGCTGCAAGGACTACAAATAGTATTCATTGAAAGAGCCGTCAGTAAACTCAGAGTCTGTCAAACATGCTTACGGTGAGATTGTGATTTTGGTCCCTGTGTCCTGCTCGATTTTTTTGAGGTTGCGTCCTTCCTTCCCAATTAATCTTCCTACAAAGTTGTTGTGTGCAAGAATCTTCAGTGGGATCTCCTCAGTACTGCAAAAAAACAAAGGATGTCAAGTTAAATGTTCCTTCACATTCAGATTAAACCTCAACAAGCAATATGTCCATTTGCCTACATGTTCTGAATTATCAGCATTTTTTATATTCTGTGTACAAGCTGTCAAAGTAAATTTTCTTTCTTGGTCAAAATATGTTTAAATGTATAAACAGGCCTGACTAATAAGTCATTTGCATTTATCTCCCAACCACAAACTTCTGCCAATTATACATAGACACAGTTGTGCATCACAACATGCATATATTACCATTATTTTTGACTGGATTGTAACAAGTGAAACTATGACTTAAGAATTTTAAATAAGACCATTACATCACTTGAAATCTGATAAGGTCAAAGGTTTGTTTAACAATGACTATACCTCCGCTCTTTCACGAGTTTATAGGTGGTACATAAAAAAATTGTAAGAACCAAATTTGACTAAGGCACATATCCTGCTGCTCTTGTTTTAGTTTATATAAAAATAAATTTAAAAAAATTAAAATAAAAACTTACAACTTTGTGTCAAGGGCTTCCTTCTGCATGATTTCCATGATGGTTCTGCAAGCGTTCGAACAACCTTCAGGGGTGGAGTGAATTGTAATGGGCTTCTCTGCTGCCCCTGCATTTTCTTTCCTATGGATGTCAATCCTGGAATAAAGGAAAGATGGTTAGTAAAAAAAAAAAAAAATCTTTAATGCTGGAGATGAACAGTACAAGCAAAGGAGAGGGCATAACTCACTTGCAATGCTCAGTATAATTCCTGACCTCTGTGTACGTACTTTGAGTGGGTCTGTTTGGTGATGTTGCGGATAGTGGCACCCTCCTTGCCGATAATTGCACCTACAAACTGCGTTGGAACCAGCATGCGCAGGGGGATGTCTGACTGCACTTTGGGCCGGGCGCCCAGACCTGGAGAGCTGGAACGAGGGGGTCCACGTGCATTAAAGCCTCTCCTGCCCCCTGCTGAAGGACCCTCTGCTGCAGCCGTCTCATCTGGGATATAGGACACTTTCAAGGCATAGTTCTCCATCATAGATCCATTCAGCTTCTCCATCGCCCTGGGGAGCATAAAGGGATGTCAGTCTCTGCATAAAACTCTTGATTCCCAGTGAATGGAGTATAATTTGCCAACACAGGAAGGCTTTCAGACAGCAGTCATTGGACGTGGGGGGGCTCTGACTGGTTTAGCTGCCAAACAATTCTGTTCACGCCGTCAACATAAAGCTTTAGGTTTGATTTCTTTTCCCATCTCCTTATCAATGGCAGAATCCAAGTGATGGGGACATTAAAACAAAATCCCAAGGCCCCAGGCCAAAGTGAAGCAGTTACTCAGGTAATGGGCACGAGCAACGGCGAGAAGGCGAGAGCTCCTTGCAAGTCCAACAAACTGCGGGGCAGCGACCAATAATCACTTTTCTGGAGCTTAAAGAAATTCACTCTAACCTCCAGACAGCACTCACACTTTAACACAAGTCTGCCTTGTTAGCCTCAAGGATTTAGATCTGTAGTGAAACAATTATGCCTGGAGACTTCTGCAACCACTCGTGCGGAGAGAAACATTGTAGTATGACTCATGTACACCAGGGGGCACCAGATGGCTAATTTAACCCCCTCCCTCTCCAACAAACACACACACACCCCTCCTCCTCCTCCCCATCATCATTGCATGTCAAATTAAACTGGACTGGTTTTTGGAAGGAGGAAATCAGGTGCACTGGATGGACAGTAGACAGAGGAAGTTGATGCAATTTCCAGTAGAGAATTCTGGGTAAGGTGAAAAACTTCAGCAGATCCATGTCATAGACATCAAGACAGATGAGTTGGAGGTCAGTGATGCGAATACACTCGTGTGTGTGTGTGTGTGTGTGTGTGTGTGTGTGTGTGTGTGTGTGTGTGTGTGTGTGTACTCTCTCACAGCCTGGCCTGGTCCTTGGCTGCATATCGAACATTGACTACTGCAGTCTCTGTGTCAGTGTTAACTGTGGGAGCACACAGAGCAGAGTCAATTCACAACCATTCAAAAACAGTAACATAATTTACCACCATGGTTACCTTTTACATACAAAAATTACAAATTAACTTGTTAAAAAATTTTTCAATGATACATTTATCTATTATTTTTTATAAACCAAATAAAACAAGGTACAGTTGAAAGAAAACATGGTACAAAAATTCTGACACCAATAAAAGGTGTGTGTTGAGGCGAAGTGGTGGAATTGCACTTTAAGCAGTCTAGCAACGCAAAGCTTAAACAAGTCTGTATTTACCTTGTTCACAGCTCTCTACTGCACCGTACTGAGCAAGCATACTATCCAACACCTAAGAGAAAAAGAGAGAAAAGCCATGATTACTCAAAGACTTTGACCAGAACCTGTTAGTGAGCAGGAGCTCATCTATGGGAACCAGCCCAGCTTGCTGCCAGGACACACTCCATTAATTCTGAACCCCAGAGTTCAATGCTGAGTTACGTGGATAAATTTGCTGCCCTCTTGTAAAAGCTTGTCTACCTCAAATTATGACTCTCCCCTTAGGGCACTGGGCATGGTTCTGAGAAAGCTTTATAACATTTTACAGTCTTTATTTAAAAGTACACATGTAAACAACCAATTCTATTCAAAAAGTTAGATTTACAAGCAGCAAGCTAAGCCATCTAACAGTGTACGTGAAAAACAAAATAAAAAAATAAATTGACCATTTAAAAAACAAAATAAAAAAAAATAAAAACCATAAAGCTATGCTTGCTTTTCTTGTTGGACTTGTCTTTTTATACTTTGCCAAAAATTATTAACTACTTAAAAAAAATCCCTGCATGTTGAAATCATACACATAAAAAGAAACAGCAAAAAATATAAAATGCATCCAAAAGACTGCCACACCAAGCTGGCCACTTGCCCAAACCTGGAGACCAAAGGATTTTAATTCATAGATGTGATCAAATGTGGGCGAGAGGGGGAGCGAGGGTTCTAAGCTAAGCTAAGACCTCCGACCATGCTCAGTCGAACCCAAGGCCACACCCCCAAGAGCTCAACCCCACTTTCTAGCCAACAAGACTGCGTCCCTGCCCCCCCACTCCACCAACCCACCAACCAAGCAACCTCCCGCCTCCCTGCCATCTCCACTCCCCATCATTGGCTGCTCCAGCACAGATATGAGTTCCCTGAAGCCAAGAGTTGCTGGCTGCTGGCTGGCTGCTCTGCCTGTCCATCTGCCGAGCCCGACCAATGGGAATCCAGGCCATTCAGGAAAGGGTGGGGTACATTCCAGCAGGAAGCAGTGGCTGGGGGAGGGGTACGAGTTCATGCTACACATTCTGTGAATCGGCGCACATGGAAGGAAGGGGAAACAGTCCAGGCCCACCCACCCACTACAGCTTGTGAACACGCCACTACTCTCGCCACTTTTCTTTCGCTGTAAGGCTATACACACACACCATGACCCATTGTCTTATCTACCTGATAAGATACATACAAGGCCTTTGCATCTAAAGATCCCACTCTGTTCCGTTCCTCCATTCTTCTAACCCCTCCCCCTCCGAGGGAGAGAAACCTCCATGTCACCTTTTGAGAAAGCAAACAGCTCGCTCACTACATACTAGGAACATGGGTGGATCTAGAGCTGCAGTTGAGGGACATGCGTAGGCAAAGCGAGCCCACCATTACAAAACACTGAGCCTGTCTGTAGCCATTTGATCACAGTGAGGCTGAAATCTAAAGACATGTATTAAACTTACAATTTAGAATAATACTGAACAATGGTGCAGTTCACTAGGAAAATTCTCATTAGGCTTCCATAGTCTTTATGGAGCAGAAAATTAAACTGAACACCACCACAAGCACACGCTATCACTGCTAAACCTCTGCAGAGGGAGAGAAAAAAAGAAGTCACGTAAAGATGTGTTACTGACACATGAGATTCCACATGCAAGTTAACAGTGGGATCTTAAGTCTGACACATGTGATTTAAAAAAGAAAAGAAAAAAAAAAAAAAAAAAAGCTCCAGTGTAATTTCACCCTTTTCCCAAGTTGTCTGACAAATTTTAGTCCAGAAAAATTTTACGTATGCCGAGCAGATTAGTATGTAGTCAGTGAATACCAAGGAGTTTTAAATTAAATGCTTATCACATGCAGAGAAAGAAAGATATGCAACGCACAGACACACACACACACACACACACGACTGTTGCTCAACACTGACATTCGTTTTTCACTAATCAGGCAATGGCCTTGAAATCTGACCATGTTACAGTTCACCATTTCTATTGATATTGTTCATTTTTACATGACAGCTTTTTGCCTGTTAACCCTTGAAGGGACATGAAACAAGTAGACTGCATTTGAGACTTAACACTGACCTTGAGCGTCAGTTTTACTGCTTCAAGTCTGTTTAAAGCCACTGTAGATACCTGCTACAAGAACATCCAGTGATCTACTACTTATGCAACAGAGGACAGTTTTACATAATCAATTCAAACATGGTTTTCTGAAGATTTTGGTCACAGAAAATTTGTGGGTGTTTTTTTTGCCTAAAATACCAACAATCACTTCAAGGCTTAATCCAAGATCAAGTCAAATTATTAATACAGTTTAAAAGTTACCTGTGTTGGAACAGTCGTGTGTTCAACTGTCATTTTGGAGGGGTTTAACAGCAAGTCATAAATTCTTGATTATTATTTTTTTTTCCCCCTGTATATGGGACCTCTCTCCAAGTTGTTTGTATATGAACATAATAGACGTAAAAACAACACATGTACAATTTCATCTGATTCAGCACAATAACCCCGAAACAGCTTGCACTTGCATCGAGTTTACACTGTTGTATTACATTGATGTTGTCGAGAGTTTTCATGTAGCTATGATAATTTAAGAGGGAATTTGTGGTGGCATTTATGGCTTGTTGTCATTTTATAAAGTGCCATGTAGTTACAAATTAACGCCTTATAATGTGTTCCCCAACACCTATGTCCAGCTATGTCCTTAAATTTCAAAACCCTGATATCATAACCTTTAAAAGTGTATTTATTGCAGGGGCAACACAATGGAATGCATTAAATTGTAGGAGTGCAGATTTTAATTTTGTCCACCCTCTAAATGTCAAACACACACCGATACAAGTGAATCTTCAATAAATTCAAATGATATAATTTCCAGACTCACTGTACACACAAATCATCAAGAAAACTACAACACACAAAGTACTAAATAAATAAATTGACTTTCTAAAAATAATAAAACTAAAATGGAGATTTCCCATGAACCATATAAGGACTTAAACAATTGGGCTGACCGGGTGAAACTCCTTGTCACATGAATGTTTCACAACCCCTCAGACAATACCCTTGGTTTATTTTTACCTAATTTCCACACAAGGGTTTTTTGTGTGAAAAAGCTTTCAAACTTGCACGTCAATAGTGTTGAAGGACGATCAAGTCAAAAGAGTCTACAGAACCAAGTCAAATCAAAAATCAGCTTTTTCAAAATGCTTTAAAAACATAAGTAACCAATATATGTAGAATTAATGCCACAATCATCTTGTTTCCTCCTAAGTGTGAGCCAGCTGAATCATCAAGACACCCAACACAATCCTTTTACATTTTCCAGCACCTTTGTTTAGTAAAACGTCACCATCCTCTCTTGTCATTCCCAAGCTCCTGTGCACATAAATTGTCAAAACTCAACCTTGCAGATCTTTGTTGTTAAAGTCCCAGTGATATTACCAATAATTTCTACCAACTGCATAACTACCCACTGGTCTGAACCACAACCATCTTCAAACAAATCATCAAGCGCATCCTCAACTGTAACCCAAAGGGAGGCCAGGTGACTCCAGAGGCCACTAAATGAGAGCCCAGTTGGGCTGCCCCATGGTGCCCCGCCCTGGAAGCAGTTAGCAGCCTGTTAGCACTCACCTCCCACTGCATATGAGGCGGGATGTTCCTGATCTGCAGCTTACAGCTCCTGGAGAGAGAACAAGGGAAGAAAGGGTGGGGGATGGATAAAGGAGGAGGAAGAGAAAGAAAGAAATTGATGAAGATAGATGGGAAGAGAGATTGGAAAGAAAAGGGAAGACAGACAGTTAGCAGCAGAAAACACCAAGGGCACAATGATACAAATTACAGTAAAAAGGTATTGTAATCAAAAAAAACACGAAGGTCCTCATTCCCTCCGCCATGTAAAGAGACAAACTAGGGTGGAGAAGCTGCAGATACGTCTTCTGCTTTAATTCCATTCCCAACTCAGCAGGCAGCAGGTGCATTGAGACAACCTGGGTAAAAACGTGGGAGGAAGTGAGGGAGAAAAAAAAAAATAAAAAAAAATAAAAAAAGAGGGCAGAGGGGCGATTTGGAATCACCACTGAGAGGGGGCCTAAATTGAGTTGAGGGTGTTCAAAATTAAAATTAAACTAAAAACGTACCACAGGCTTTCTCCCAAATCACCAATTGTGTCACACAGAGTGCGAAGGACGAGATAGGGAGGAGAAACAGGACGGTGAAGCTGGAGAAAGGAGTAGGAAGACGCATCAAGTAAAAAGCAGAGGGGGAAAAAAGGATTGAAAAGGCGAAGATATCCTATCCAAATGTCTTGTCGACACACTTTGAGTCAAGCATGTGCCCTGTAGCATTGCATCATGAGGTTTCAGCCACTGCTAGGCTCAAGCCCACTCTTTTCAACCAAAATAGACACTTATCCAGGAGCATCCAGCTGTTGTTATCAAAAAAGGAGGGAGGGGTGGGAGGTTGGTGGCAGTGCCAAACAGAAACTAAAGGGAATCTCCATTAACCGCTTCACACTAAAAGAGGAAGATTTAAAATTGTGTGCTTGTTCATAGAGTGTGCACACAGCAGATGCAAGAGGAGACTAGCAGCTACAATGGTGCTGCTGTGTGTGCTGTCACAAGAAACAACCAGGACAGAAATTCCCCATTTTCATCCTTTTAGAATGAAGGTTCCCAATTTAGTGACATTTTGTGTACAGCAGCGTGAATACAGTGGCTATGTGTGGAGGTCATGCAGACAATGGAACTTGTGGATCAATGAGTCAGAGTTTCACAAGTGTCCATCTGCATGTGGATGTTGCATTTACAAAAGAGAAAAAAAAAAAAAAAAAAAAAAAAAAAAAAAATCAAAGTGAGAAAAGTGCAGCCCCACTCCAAAGTCCACTGCCTATTGACACACACACAAACCTAAAGGATCACAATGTACATATGGCTGGGAGCTGAAGCATGAGAAAACACACACACACACACACACACACACACACACACACACACACACACAATGTGGAAATACAAACCCTGACCCCATCCTATTTCCACACCAGCCTTACGCTCTTTCACGCATACCTGATACATATGCAGATAATTGTGCAGTTGTATTGAGTGTAGACACAATTTTCCATCTTGAGTGTAAAAACTTTAAGGTAAAGAGTTACATTACACACCTCGTTCTTTTGCTCAAGCTTCAATGAGCTGTTAAATGACGTTTAAATGCAGCTCATCTACTTGTACAAACTGCTGTACTTCTAATTGTTGTTTTGAAATCTGAAAACACTTAACATGCAGCATTTATAAACTCACTTTACACTATGAACTCAAATTCAACAGGATATGTAACAATTTAATTAAAGAATTACACACAAGCTTATCAAGGTAGCAAAACGTACTGCACATGTGCAACAAGGGCCGCAGTAGTAGAAATTCCTCATCTTAGCCACTACGGCCATAATCCGGCCAACAGAAGTTCAACAACATATTTAATTTGAGACATTAGGGAACTACTTAATTCTAAATGGACAAATTGTAAAGAAAATTCCCAAATAACTTCCAAGAGGAATTCCAGCCGTTTCCGGCCCAATGTGCCATTCCTGGCTGATCCGGCCCCCTCTCTCTCTCTCTCTCGCCGCACATTCTGTATGCTCTGCATTGCGGTGGGAACGCCATGCGAAATGTGCAAATGCACCAAGCACTTCCAGTCGGATTAACCTATAGCTCCACACAGCACACAGAAGAAGTCAGCCAGGGTATAGGGTGGGGTGGGGGAGGTATACATTCCCTGGTCCCAGCCTTTGAATTGAGGAGGGGGAGGAGGTGTGTGTGAGTGGGGTGTGGTGTTTGGGGGTGGGTTGGGGGGTGGGGGGGACTAGCCCTGTTTCAGGCAAGGGTAACAAGGGCCCTCTCTGCCCTGTGGGGGTGGGGCCCTGTTGCCATGGACACGGACAAGTCCACTGACAGGAACATGTAGAGCGGGGTTAAAAGTGGGAGGGGGAGGGAAGGAGGGGAGGGCCAGGAGTGACTGGGGTTGGCTCGTCATGTGATGGCCAAGAGGAGGCCTGGCTCCTTATTTACTTTTGAAATGGACCAACATTCTACATGTTAACCCCCGTCCTTCGCCACCCAGCTGAGACCTACGGGCCTGCACCGTGGACACTGTGCACACAAGTGGGTGAATAGACACGTATGCAAGCGTGCACATGCACCCATAAAGACCACAAGAGGATTCACAAGTCAAGCACCATGACACTGCACCACACCTGTATTCATCTCAATTTCTTAGTCGTCCACCCATACTGAAGCACTCTACGTCAACACAGCCTCAGACGGTGTGGTACACACGTGATCTGTGCTCATCGCCCATCCACAGCCATTGACTATTCAGTATGCAGAGGTTCTGAATGACTGAACTCCACACAGCCTGGTTTCCGCTACCCTCTCACAGGCCTTATACGCACACTGTGCACCCAATAAGCTACATTCAACACTTGCGTTTGGATAGATTGGTTTGGAATTCCCTCAGAGAATTCCAGTGAGTTGAATATCAACAGTTAGAAATGACTCAACTTCTGTAAAGACTATTACACGTGTCTTCACCTCCCCCACCACACACAAAATAAATGTACGTATATTTAAGAGGAAGCAAAAATACAATGTGATTCTGATTTGAGCCTAGTAGGAGGCAGAGTTAAGGAACCTTTGCCTGCAGTCTGGGTAAAACAAGGGGCCACATTCATAATTCTCTGGCACCCCAAGTCTCCGTCCCAAATCCCCATTTTTGCAGGTGGGGCCCCACAGTGACCCCATGACCCAGAATTCTTGTAATAAGAGCCAGGAGCCATTTCTACAAACAACACTGATACGATCTACACTATTGTCTCAATTTATAGATGTTTTTATAGTGATTGGTTTGGAAAAAAAAAAAAAAAAAAAAAAAGCTGCCATTTAGAAAAAGAAAAGAAAAAAAGAACAGGGCTAAAGAGCTGAAACTTTACACCACTCAGTGAGCACAAATACAGCACTATATATGCTGCAAAATAATCAAAGTTGTGCACCTTTGAACAAAGCATGTTTAACGTCCTCCTCACCCTCTCTCTCTCACACACACACACACACACACACACACACACACACACGCTCACTCACACACACACTTGAGGCCACCCCTCATATAGCCATGCCATTTTCTTTCTTCCTGTACACGTGACAAAGCGGATACATTCATATGGGGATGAGCAAGCGACATTTTTATTTTGTTGAATTTATCCAACATGGTGGCATAATATGAAGTTCAGCACACAATGACGACATTGCTGCAACTCAGTTGGCCTTTTATGGAGGACTGAATTAAATATCTGGAGTGAAATTAAAAACAAAAACAAAAAAAGGGAGGAATGTTCAATTAGTAACTGTTGGCAAAAATACATTTTACATGGCCCACTTGCTCCAACAAGAAAGTCAATATACTTTTGTAAAAAAGCTAGGTCACAGGTTAAAATATAATTGCTATTTTTAAATCATTATGCCAATTGTGGAAAATATGGCTGTTTTAAGTCAAATGTAGAAACACCTTTAAGATTCTGATAAATGCTTGATATCCTACTGAACAATTTACATGCTTTCATAGAACAGAAAATAAATAAGAGCACAAGATATTGTCAAGAACGTGTGGGCGTCTTCTTTAAATTCCAGATTTATAAAAAATAAAAAACAATAAAAAAAAAAGCCAAGCACAAAACGTTTTCAGGAGTCAAGCAAAGTAAAATGTAAATGTCCATAAGATGATTAAAAAGGTTTAATAACTTTAAAAAAGGAATACTATGCATCTATGGACAAGATGTTTTCAATTAAGTGAATTTTGTTGTGTTATGTTGTTAATGCTCACAGAATATTTTCAGGAGTCATTGCTGAAAGCAGCAGATGTTTAGGTGCTGCAGCGGTGCTAATTTTAGTGGCCTTTTTCGCCACAACCATGACAAATTCAGAGGAATGTAGATCAAAATCTAATTACGAGATGGAATTTGGCCAATGTGAAACACCACACTCCAGAGACCGTCACCCTACGCAGCCCTATCTTTATGAACCCCCAAACTGCAGCCACCCCACCTTGATCCCTGTCTGCTGTAGCACTTCCCCTTCCTGAGGGGTTCAAAGGTTAAGCCATGGTGATTGGCCAAGCCCCCAGCTGATATTTGCAGGCTGGAATGCAAAGAGGGGCCCCAGTGTACAAGTGTGTATGTGTAGCATATACTCAGAATACTGTTCCTATTGACTACTGCCATGTTCCATGTTGTAAAGGGAGGGCACGTTTTGTACTTTTTTGAAGTGTGGCTGAAACTCGACTCTGTTGCTGCCATAGCCAACACAGCAGACTGCAGAGAGACAGAGCAACGTCACCAGTTTTTTTTCGTGATCAGGAAAATTTTGGAGGAAGGTCTCCAGATTTCACGCAAAATTCCCACGTAGCTCACCTGGTTTATTTTTTCTCTCAGCCCCCGCCTCACCCCCCCTAAGCTACACTTTAGACCAACAGCCTACCAGCTGCCAGGGAAGCGCATCTGTGTCGTCCAGGTGGAAAATACAATTCTAGAAGATGTCAAAAATCCCCTGCGTGCTCCGTTTTTCATATCTAAACACTTTGTAAATTATTTTCAGTCACGTACATATATAGGTCAAAAGGCACGTTTCACATCGACTTTCTGATTTCAAACGTGGCTCCTTACTTTGCATAAAATAAATCAAACTTTCACGAAATCAAACTGTGCACGTTACGTGTAATATCTTTTAGAAATAAATACACCAATTAGCAAGCAAGGGCCATTTAATTCAAGCACAGAATTAATTATGACCAAACTGCGTCACCACCTAAAAATCCGCACACAATGCCAAAAAGCCCCAGTATTTTACGTCCTCAACACACATTGCGTAGACTCCACAAAAAACATTTACAGTACACTTTATGGAAATCATGAACTGAAACACAACTGCCCAGTGTGGCTACGGGGGTCTAACTCTGAAACTAAGGTTTTCCGTGACTTGGGCCCCAAACCTCCCATTCCACTCGCGTTTGGGAGTCCATCTCATGCAACAGCAGCACAATGTGCAGAGGAGGGCGGAAGCGCAGGGCAGGCAGGGAGAATGACGGGCAGATCCTTCTCAAATGGACGACTCCACAAGGCCTGTACGCCTCAAATGCAGCCTGCACTCACTCTGCACACATTTCAGCCAACACACTCAGGCTTTTCTAATCGCCCTGAGGTTGGAGCTGAAATAATATCAAGTGCTGAACATATACAAAAAAATACTGAGGGATGGGCGAGCGACAAAATACAGGCATGCGCTAGTTAAACCCAAATGCACGAAGGTTTTAGGAGCACCCCACAGTCATGGCGAGAGGAGGGAGTACACCACCATACGCCCCTTTCATTTGACCCCCAGAACATTCAGAAAAAAAGACACCTTCATTTAACCAAAATGAAAATACTTACACCACTGAATTAACAATGCTCAACAGCAACATACATGCACATTTCCAGCACCAGGCTACATCTTGAAAAAAACAAAAACAAATAAAAGGCTTCTTGTAGAAAATGGCTACAGTAAAGAGAAAAAAAAACTGGAGCTCCCACGAGTTGAACCCAGCACTGTATAATAAAACTCGACCTACCTTTGACGTTTAGGGACCGAGTGCTCCACTTCGAGAAGTTTCCCATGAAGTTCAACTTTACCTAGAAAACAAAATGCAACTATTTTAATTTCTCGAGTCCTTTGACCTCTCAGGCAGGCCTCCTTTCTTGCTCTAGGAAATGTATTTAGGGTTAGTGTTTACTCCTCATTTTAGGGAGTGTGCTAAAATCTAAACATGCATTATGTAGACATGGCAGCGTCCTGGATATTTTCAGCATAGTGTGATATTAGCAACACAAAATGCTGATTGTGCGAGCCACTAATAGCACGAGGACACAAAATGAGCCACACATTAGCTCAATACGTAAAATTATGAGAGTGTAGCTAAATTGTTACGTGCCCTGTGTGTGTGTGAACAGGCGTAAGTCTAATTTAATAACTAACCCATGAGACGAAGTGAGGAATATACAAAAGTAAATGGTCGTGGGGCTCAGTTAGTTGGCCTACATTTGACCAACAATTAAACCACCTGGTGTGTCAGCATGGGCGAAATGGCTTCACAATGTAGCGAGTTGTGGCCACTGGAGAAGGCCTATACTTTGAAACTGGGATAAGAGTGCAAGTTCAAATTGAAACTGGTAAAAGCAGCAACCCACTACGGCCCGTGCTCCTATCCGTGCCAAAGAGGACTGTGTGATAGAGCCCACAATAAGGCTCTCTTCACGGCGTCCACAGCCCGCTGCCTATGCGCCCCACTGCCCTAAACGGCACATAACCTGAAAGCCTTGGTATTCTCATCCTCATGATTGTGTTTACTCGACCATTTTATCAAGCTACACTCAGTGAAATTACAAGAGCAGAATTTCACTCAAACCCTGGGCAGCTATTTCCCTGAGCCCACAGTGTCAAAAGGCCAAGTAAAGGTTCTGTGAGAGAAAGAAATGCTTGGGTACACCCCCACCCTACAGGACTATACATGCATTTCTCATAAGGGCCCTGAAGTAAAGGCAATCTTCACACAATTGCAGCAGTTCGTGCGTCTTTCAAAATACCACTTTTTAGCCCAAAATTTCTCACCTGAAAGAACATCGATGGCCTTCATTGCAGCCTTCTCGTCCGGGCAATCCACAAACGCATAGCCAGTTTTGACAAGAAATGGACCACTGTGCGGAATCTTCCACTGCTCAAAGATAGTTTCGAAGTCCTCCTCGCTCGCTTCTGCGCTCACGTTGCCAATGTATAGCTTATTCATGTTCTGCGCCGAAAACGGACAATCTTTACGCTGAGGGAGAGATAGTTATTTGCTCTCACGGATGTGCAGTGTTTGGAGTAGCCTAAATCGCCTTTACTACTACGGAGTGGCTGTGGCGTGCTTCCCGGTCGTTCAAGCCACAGATAGATTTAAACTGGCAGCCTCACAGTGCGTTTGCGCTCCCTCGCCCCTCTGTCTCTATCGCGCAATAAATAAATGCTCAATTATTAATCTCGTGTCTCCAAACGATGGCGGGCTGGGTGAAAAGGAGGAGAAACTACTTTGTGTCTTCCTCCAAACCCCTTGGCAAAGAGACAGAGAATGTCACACACGGTAAGGCTGGCGCCCGCCTCTAAGTCTAGAGCCTAGAATAAGAAGAAGAAGAAGGGGGAGAAAAAAATCCTCTGCTATTCCGGCTTTTTTGAATGAGCCACGTGTTCAAACTACAAATCAGCCCACACGTGAGGAATCCCAATTGCTCAATTAAGTGTTTGGGATTGGGGAAAATTGCACGGGAATCTGGGGTGGGGACAGCAGAGGGGAGTGGAGAAAAAAGGAGGGGAAGAGTGGATTGGTGTTGGGAAAAAACCTGGCGAGCTATGTGCGTAAAGGGATTCCGTGAGAACCCAGTGTATCTTTACTAGAATCACATTCGTGTGCCTTTCTCTGCAAACCCTCGATCCTCATTGGTCGGTTGAGGAATAGTAAAACGACAGTGCGCTCACGCACGCCCATAGCAGGGAGACGCTGATATTGCGGGGGCTTGTGCGCACGGCTGTGCTAAGTGCGCTGTACTGATGACACAGTAGGAGGAAAAGGGGGGTGGGGCCATTCATAAATGATGTTGCACTGTATTGTTAAATTGCATACTGAACACATTTAATTTCTAGAATCTTGCATAGGGAGGGCCCTGTGCCCCTCCTTGGGCCCTCGCGCAATATGGGAATGACACGTACTCCTATCCACATGACGGCATCCATCTTCTCCAACTAGAGTGGAGCCATGCCCTTCCCGTTCCACAGCTCAAAGTCCAACAGCAGGCCCTACTTGCTCATTATCACACAAAATAATATTGAGGAGGGTGTCTTTGGGCGAGATGGGTGCTGCCACGCCACTTGTTTTTTCCAACTTTCAGACGATTTAGCAGAACGAGGAAGCTTTCGCCATGTGGTCAGAATGCACATGGCGAAGCCTCACTGCTATACCTCGGGTATGGATTTGCATTTACTGAAAGAGGGAGGGGTCTCCTACACCAAAGTGCCCCTAGTGTGCTATGTAAAGGCACAGCCCAATTGGATCACGTGTGGAATACTAAAATCTTACACAACTGTCAATAAGATCTTTTGTTAATCACAGGCGAAGGCCGACAGTTTACACGTAGGTCAGTCTGCGGAGAATGGTTGTGCTTACGAAACTAATGGGGTCTGAATCCTTACCTGTTGACGGGATATGGGGCAATATACAGTCAGAGCACGACTTGTTCGAGTGTTTCATCAAAGACCCTAACATGAAAATGTACATACAGGGTCATGCTTATGAATGGATCCAAACTGACAATAGATTTGTGAAAAAGCATAGTGAAACATAGACACACTGTGCAGCTCAAGTGCCTGGTGTGGGCCAAAACATTTTACAGTAGGCCTATCTATCTATCTATCTATCTATCTATCTATCTATCTATCTATCTATCTATCTATCATGCATAGTTTTTAATTTGCCACATATAACTCATACAGGACAACTCCCATAATTAGCTATAGGAATTAAAAGATGCCCTTTCTACATATAAAAAACACATGATCCAGAACACTGTATTGTACATATATCAAATTATACTGTCACATGTTCTGTGTGTTGAAAACACAATACACTCATGAGTCTAAATTGGGTTAAAGCTGAATTTTGAACTTTAATGTTATGAATATGCTAAATATAGATAGATACACTCAGTTGCCACTTTATTAGGTACACTAACTTAAAACTAATGCAATCCAATACAACATTTCTGTAATAAATTTTACCTTCATGAAGGTTTTTCTGGAAGTAGTTTTAGCTGTTGAGCTCTCCTGAGTTATACTGAGTGGGGTTTCTAATATTTAGTCTGCCCTAATGGATATAAATGGGTTGGACAAAATATTAGAAACACTTCTCAGAAAAATGCGGTATAATTCAACAGTATTACAAATGTAGCTTCCCCAAATACCTCTGTAAATCAGTTTCAACAAAAATTTAACAGTATGAACTTCATAAAGGTAGAATTTATTACACAACTGTTCAATTCGACTGCATTAGCTTTAGATTTGTGTACTTTATAAAGAGGCAATTGAGTGTATGTATCTATATTTAGCATATTCATAACATTAAAGTTCAAAATTCAGCTTTATCCCACACCTTCAGTCCCAGGGTTTAGGCTACATAAGTGTTTACATGTGGAGGACATGTGACAGTATAATATGAGATATGTGCATTACAGTGTAACTGTGTCTGGATCACATCTGCGCATATGTGCATCATTTAATTCCACTGATTATGTTATGTTATATGAGTTGTCTCATGTGAGTTATGAGTGGCAAATTAAAAACTAAGTATTCATTGTAGCAAGAAAGTAACAATGTAAACTATAAAAAGTTACATAATAGCATTAATTGTAGTTTCATTTCCCTGTAAATGTATGTTTTTCATTTTAACCAACATAGCCTTATATTAGCATATTTACTATGTCATTTTGAAAAGTTGGTTGAACTGTATTTCACAGAGAAAAAGGGTAGTAAAAGTGAGTTTAGGTGGGTGTAACTTCCACTGCAGCCCTGCAACTGCCAGTGTAGAGCTGTGCTCTGACCTGAAATGATAGCACTGTGCCCCTGCAGTGTTTGCTGGTGAAGGCCTAGGTGTGCATGCACATGTAAAGCAGGTTACAAAGGGAGTGTTGGTTTAGTGGGCCCTTCAACCACTGGCTCAGACTGGGGCCATGGCTGTCTCAGTGGGTTTACTCCTCTGCTGCTGAACAAACACACAGGGCCTTCTGATTGGTCGGGAAGGCTGTCCAATCAGAGGGCTGCAGACCCGCTCCGTACTACTTCTGCTGGCTCGGCCTCAACGCGCTCATTCATTGGCTCCTCGGCTCGACTATTCTATATGAATCAGCGCGCCAATTATGCATTTCTCCCCATGTTTCCTCTGCTGGGCTTTGTCATAAGCCATAAAGATGTAAGGAAACACGAGCCAGTGGCCAAATCCGCGGCACTTTTTATAACTGCTCTCAACTTTTCAGGAAGTTTTAGCTTGTGTTTACATTAATGGGCCACTCATATGAATAGTTTAAATGAAAAGGGAATAAAAGAGAGTGTTTAAAATTCCCTTTAAGTACGCTTATACTAACTTTTAATCGTTTTATAATTTGTTTTAAGTTTCAACTCCCGAACAGTTTCTTTACAACTTTTTACTCAGTGGTTAGATTCATATATTCCTTCTGTATGAACATATATAAGGGATTTATTAAACCTGGGCACTTTCCGTTGCCCTATTTAGGCTCATACAATTTTTTAAAACCTAGTTTACTTGGTTTTAATGATTTCCACTGCAAACGAAATAACGAAACGCACACGCAGGAGCTCGGTGTGAATGTGCCTGTGCCTGCTGGATAGAGCCTTACAGATGGTACATTTGAAGAGTGAACGTATAGAGACAGCAGTCATGGGAGTGCTCGCCTGGCTCTGTCGGTTTAAATGAACTGATGCATGGCTGCAGCCTGCCTGTGCGTGTGTGTGTGTATGTGAGAGCGTGTGAGTGTGTGTGGCTGCAGGGTCTGCAGGAGGAGTAGTGAATGTATCGCTGAGGAATGTACAGAAAGTCTCCCCGCCCCCAGTTTCAGGACTCCTCGCTATGGACAAATTCCATAGGGGCAAACTGACATAAAGTTTCAGACTAGACTGCATCCTATGTGGGAAGATTTCTGCGGTTAATGTCAGTGTAGGAAAAGAACTGACAAAATCGATCTTGTTAAACATAGTCTAGGTTATTTCTAGAGAGAAAGAGAGAGAGGGAGGACAGGGAGGGGGGTAGATTGTTTAAGTAAAACGCAGCTTATAGCCCAACTTTGAGCTGCTGGCCTCACTCCAAGATATAGATAGTCTACGTCGCCAAGCGCAAGGCTCTTTTACAAAGCCCTTTAGGCTACACTGAATCAAGGGATTCTGTTTTCCGGTGAGATTGCTTTATTTTTTTATTTATTGTTAGGTGATTCAAATCTTAAACAATGTTTTCTTTCCAGTTGAGTTGTAACCATTAAATCCACTGGCTGACCGCTTCGGACAGAGTCAGGCAACACTGTGGTGTACGCCATGTTGAGGAGAATCTAGAGCCTTACAGTAACATTAACTGATGGAAACAGTCCTTATCGATGTTAATGCAAGTCTTCTTTTTTTCTTTTTGGTCTAGACAGATGTTTTCTATTTTAAACCAAGGGCTTTCATGCAGGCTCCATAACAAAAATGTGGATGGTTTTTTTCTCCACATATTCTCCTATGGGATGACACCCTTCATCTCATTAGAAAATGGCGGTTTGTGCCCCCTCAAAGCACATGCCAAGGAACATTTCTTTTTAACAGCAAATAATGAGTTAATGCTTGCTGGCAAAATATGAAAAAGGCAATAATATTCCAGCTGATATCTGATATTTTTTAAAAAGAATAATACAAGTAAAGAAACTGCTGTTTTTCTTGTTTTCTCCTCTCTTACACCGTTTTCCAAACAAAACTTAAATCCCGGAAATTAGTATGAAGAAGTGAACTCAGTCTAAATCAGTAGTTATAGGAAAGATTATTTAAATGTTAAGACATTTTTATGGAAGTAATTAATCCCTTGTTTTGTTGAAAACAGCCTTAAAAAGCTATTAATAGCAGCCATACAGTTTCCGTCACACTATTGTTTTGTTTCACATGTAACAACAACTCTGCCTATATTTTCTACTGAAATATTTGTTTAATTGAAAGTAATTGCATTAAATTCTCTAGACTGCATTTCGCACACTGCATGGTGTGTGAAAGAAATAGCTTGAAATTCCTATTTGTTTTTATTTTTCAGTATTTCAAGATAAATATGTTTTTTTGTAATAAACAGGTTGATTTTTGTATTTTTTGTGATCTTAAGATAGGTATATTTTTACTGCTGTGGAGCACTGGATCAGTCAGTTTAACAGGACATGTTCATGCATGTACAAAAGTCTGATGACAGTGGGTGTTTTCACGCCGAGTCACATGAATATTTGCAGACTGTCACACACTGCAGCCACACTGCATGGCCATGCTTTAGCATGTAGCTTTGTCTTTCTTACAGGAGAACTTCCCTCCTGGCTGCTGTTGTTTACTGGTTTCAGCACCTTGATTGATTAGTTACACTGTGATTTGTGTTGAGAAAATTTCTCTCTTAACAGCTCAAAAGCAATCAGCTTCTTCAATATCTTGTTTTCTAAAAGCGGAGAGAAACATGATTTGTTGTGCTTAGAGTTTTCACACTTGTAATTTTACATTAGACTATGTTTATTGTAAAATAAAGTGCATGATTTGTTGAATCTGGAATGGGATATTTCAAATTTTTACTCAAGTGGAAAAACTTCTGCAAATTCTTGTTTAAAATGTAGCTGTTATTTATTGTATGTTGATATTGACTTGAGGTTAAAGTGTTGGAGGTAATTGTTTGTCAACTTCATGATTTTGGTAAATAATTTCATTACAGAAATACAAATTATTTAATGTGGATTTAAAAGATTTTTGAACTAGCAACCTTTTAAAGTATCATGACGGAGTGATTTACATTTCTGCTGTCTAAATTCTGAGATGTACTTATGCACAAAACACTGATCACAAGCTTCAAATTGTTTAAGTTGATAATAAAATATTTTACTATGTTGAGATAAAATAGCCAACAGTTAAAACGTAATATAAACACATTTGTGGCACAGTAATGAACTGATTATTTGTTGAATTTGGGCATATATAAATAGATAAATCCATTTCACCTCCAAAAGGAGAAAACATATTTCATTCACTGGGATGAAGAGCTGCAGATGAGCCTAAACTAAAATGATAAAAAAAAGGGTCAGGTGATATTCCTTCTGGACATCTGTATCTTCAAGAACTCTGACTGGTAAATAAGATAAACAGCGTGTGCTGATCAAATAACAAACACTTGTTAATATTTGTTGTTCCAAGTGGACCCACATGTTTATTGCTCAGAACAGCTCAGGAGGTGGGGAATTTAAGCCTACACCCCCCCTCACCCCCCACCAGTCATCCTGTGTTCAGACCATATAGAACACATGGACATGCTGCTGCCTATTAACCTTCAGACATTGTCCTGTACGTTAGGAGCCTGTCCTCCCAGATTTATTCTGATCACAAATACATGATGGTAAAGCTACAGGTTACACCTGGTGCAGACCTTGACCGTGTTCGGTTCACCATTATAAATCATTGATACCTACAGTAAAACTGTATGATAAAGTTGATGGAAAACTGAGAAAAGATGGTGGTGTTATATTTTATATAGACTCAGATTGCACTGTATGTGTTTGGGTCCGAATACAACAATGACTTGACTCCATTTTTTCGTGAAGTAGTAGATATGGACTGCTTCCTCAAAGAAAATAGTTCACAATACTCCTGATATTGTCCTTTCTCTGAACCAGAAAATAATGTACTTGTATCTGTCCTTCTTAATATTTGAGTCCAAGTTCTATATGTTAGCTATTGCTGCAGGGAATCCCAATATTATGAATACACATTCTGTCCCCTACTGGTCATCCGATTGGTAGATAGCCACGGCCACGACACCTGTGTCACTGTGCAATTTCAATAAAGAAAAAGAAATTCATATACATCAACACCACTTCACATTAAACCATAAATGGCAAGAATTATCTGCATATTGTTCAATCTGTACACCTGTTCTATACAATGGAAACTGTTCAGAAGCGGCTGCACTACATGTCAGATCAGGGTACAAAGACTCAAATTTTATAGTATATACTTGTTTTATGACACAAACCTATACAGGCAATGTATAGGTGTACAGGTCAATGTGTATGGTGTATGATGATCAAAGTTCACTTAACGTTAAAAAATAAATAAATAAATAAATAAAAAGGTGAAAATTAGTACAAAAGGTACAGACTAGACATCTGACTGTAGCCTTGAGTGTCTTTATTGAGAAAGACCACAAACTTTGACCCTTTTATCCTTCCAGCTAGTGGTTACCTTGGAACCTTAAGAATTATCTTGGAGTCAGTGTGAATGAACGCATAACTCTGAGGGGCCCCGTGACATGTCAGCAGTGATTATTAACCCCATTTGAATGGAGTGCCTTATTATTGGGGCGAAGGTCTACTGATAAAGAGCTCTCCATTGCAGGTTTGCTTTTGCGATTAAGCCACTCAGTTTCAAGATCTTATTTGTCCCAAGTGTCTAAACCTGTATCTATTTGGGACAAAAACCGATTTTGATGTTGTGTTGACACAATCTGCGAGGATTTGTTTATTGCAGGAAAATTTGACTGGTTTCAGTGCCTTACGAAGAACAAACCTGGCCTCGTTCTGTCATCTTTTTATAATGTAAAGCACACGTTTGGTTACTTTACATAAGGAAATGTTCTAGTAATGTCTTAGTTGAGGTGAAGTACATCATAGTCACATGAAAGTGAAAGAGTTTCTGTATTTTAATGGGATAATGAAGTTTGAGCAAAGCAGAAGCTCTTGGTGTTGTTAATGTAAATATGCATTGAGAAAAACCCCTGTACAAACCATGTAGTAAAAGAATACTGAGATATAGACTTTTTTTTTTTCTTACATGTGAACTTGTATGTTATGCAATGAAATCCATCCAATAAAAGCTTGGTAAGGGTCCTTCTTTGCACGTTTTCATTTATGCAGCCTGAATGAGGGAAAACTGAACTTCTGGAGAATCTGTTGTGGTTTCAATGAGTGGCTCCAGATCAACTACTTTAAATCTGTGTGAACATTAACTTATCATGCACAATGTCTTGGCGCTGGTCTTGTTCTGTGCAACTCTCCCAGCTAGTTTTCCCACTTCACCCACTCAACTTACAGCATTACCTCCCACCTATACAACCAAAGCTCAACTTCAATTTCATGCACATTAAGTCAGAAAAACACCTTACAAACTTTGGAGTTTTCATATAGTTATATTTCCATACAAAGAAACAACAATAAAAAAATGCAATACATGAAACTCTCTGGAGAAACTGAAATGAAGAGTTCCTCGACTAAAAAAAAAAAAAAATTGAATGTGAGCAGAGAACCAACCACTGATGGCATGGTAACACTTTATTTTACAGCACCATTTCACCTGTTACTTACCAGTAAACTCACTTAGTGCTAGGTAACACTGAGAATAATCAAATTTGTTATCTTTACTGCACAGACTTTATTCTTATATTTACTTGTTGTTGTTAACAAGTTGTAAAACTAAGTGTCACCATTACTTACTAAAACCCAGCTTTTTCCCCATCACGATTAGGACAAAGTTAACAGTGACCAGTTTAAAAAAAAAAAAAAAATCACACTTGACAGGAAAAAATGTATTGCTGCTGCAGAAAAATAAAGAAGGAAGGAAGGATGTAGTCTATGAATGAAGCAATAGAAACCAACAGTCGCTAAGTTCTGTGCTCACACTCAACATGGATGCATGAAGAACGTCTAAAAATTAAGACATCTATTGCATGTAAACAAGAACTATCTCAAACTTAAGGAGTTCTGTTGATATGGACATGCTAGTTCAAAAATGTTCCCCTCAGAAAAACACCCTGATGCGTCACACACCATCAATTATTGGAGGGAAGCTGAACATTGAAAGAAGCAACTTAGTATCGTCCTGCAAAAAGAAAATATAAAATGCATATTAGTAGTAGTCGAGTCAGTGAAATACCAACACAGTCAATCTGCTTTCACCAGTCAGTAAGGATATGCAAACTAGCAGTAGTCTGATTTCATGTTCAAGGATGATACAATAGATGCAGTTAGGCAAGCTTTCTATTGTATGCATTTTTCTTCACACTTACGTGGGCTGTAGGAGCGAGACCGTGAGCGAGACCTGTATCGACTGTAGTAGGGTGATGGAGAGCGCCTGCGACTGCAAAGACACAAACGAGATTTAATATATTTTCTCCCACGTAAGAGTTGAACACTGCCTTTGTTCTCACAAATTATTACTCACCTATACCTATAGTCATACTCGTCATATCTGTCATAGCGGTCGTAGCCACGGTCATAGTACGAGTCTCTCCCTCTCCTGCTGCTGCTGCCGCCGCCGCCGCCACTGCTGCCGCTGCCGCCACCCCCGCCGCCGTTGCTGTTGAAATAAAGACAAACAAGGCCGTGACTTTCAGGCGTCTTTATCTCTTGGGAAACACAGCACCGTGTCTAAATCAGCATAAATGCTTACAAATCAAAATTTTGTTTCAAGAAAGGATACAGTTAGATACACAGATAATATGAGTAAGCTCTGACATCAGAACATTACACTATCCCAGTTCTTCACTCCTGACGATTCAAATGCACATTTACGCTTCTCAGGGACTTCAACTATGTGATGTAAATCAAATGCTACACGGGAAACTGATATGTCAGACTTGACATTAGTGTTGATCTTACTGAGTTGGTCGGCCCATGTAGATCCCTGGTGTAGGGGTATGGGGACGTTTGGTAATGGAATAATCTACTCTGATCCGCCTCCCGTCCAGCTCCATGCCGTTGGCTCGCTCCATCGCCTAGAGAACACAAGAGGGAGGACAAGACAAAGATGTTATCAGACTATTGCAAGCTCTTTGGCAAATATTATTTAATTCACAACAACCCACCTACATTACACACAGTAACCCCTTGCTATGAGATCCATGACTGCAAGGTGGGGGAATTTGTGGCAAGGCAGACACCTAGTGGTGTACTCATGTAATCACAGCTGAATTAATTGGAAATAAAGAGCCAAAAAAAAAAAAAAAAAAACCCAACAGGTGGCCTTATCTGAAGTGGAGGACCTTTGAACCTGCATGTACTAAAACTATGAAAACAAACTGATAAAACCAATACTAAGACTAGACTTTACTTAGTAGTTCTCAGGACTCAAAACCATGCCACTTTTCATTCTAGCCATTTAATCTGTCATTACATTACACTTGGGACCCCAGTGAATATAATTAATTACATCAAAAGACAGAAAACAAATAAGTCTCTGGAAACAGGACAGAAGCTCACTGGCCATCTGACCAATAAATAAAACCACAAACATTTCCCATACCTCTTTGGAATCCTCGAGTCTCTCGAAGTAAACAAAGGCAAAGCCACGGGAGCGACCCGTGCGCTGGTCGTACACCACATTGACTCCAGCCAAAGGACCATAGCGCGAAAACACCTCCCTCAGGTCACGCTCTGTGGTGTACAGGCTCAATCCAAACACTCCCAAACATGTGCTGGGATCAGGGTTCGCCTTGAAGGGTCAAAAATAAAAGTATCAAAGTTGATGATCACCCATCTAATGTTTTGCATACAAAATCCTCATTTGCTGTAGTATGCAAAACATGATTCTTCATGCATCCAGCACTTTACATGTATAATGCACTGAGCACATAACGGATTATAGAAGTATCTCTTTCCAAATCCCAAGCACAGAAAACAATTCAGCACCAATATCTTACATTAATTCATTTCAAATTTTTGAAACATACTTATTTATACATTTGCTTCAGATTAGTTTTTCCCTGTTTAGGGAGAAAATACCAGTCCAACTACATTGGATACTTACTCTTATATTATAACGTCTGGCTTGCAACTAAGGCAGTTATGTAGTTATTACTAAAAATGTAGGAATCTGTGTACAGTTTAACAACAGGGTACTAAAACTTTTCCTTCCAAGGATCTTCATTTGTACCAGTGCAAATAAATGCTCAGTGGGTAAACTGTGACAGCTTTAATAACCCCTTAAACTGCTTTCAAAAAGATGCCCTGGGGACACCTATACACAGTACAAACCCATTGCATTTGCCATCTGCTTGCTTTGAATATTCCTGCTTTGCATTATCACATGGACCTCTTATAGCAGCAGTGTGCTACAAACATTACTGACCTTACAAACTGTGGTCAAACGTGTTGCTGTAAGAAAATGTCCATTTTATGACATTCCACGCCACATGGAAGACCAAGGAAATGAATTTATTTTACTCTTTAGTTACTATAAATATATACAAGTCTAGATTTATTTATTACTTCCTGCCTTGATTTATTACCAAATATCCATGTATCCAGATGTTAAATGTTTGTACTTGCATTTTCCCTTAGCAGTTTTCTCAAAAATTCAAAAGCTTGTCACAGAAAAGTTTTAGCATGCATTAGCTCAACAGGTATACATATGTATTATTTTATCTATTCATATGATGCTAGTTACTGTCATAATGAAAAAGATACACAATATTATAACTAAAATATATGAAAACTGCATACACACACCTGCACTAACTGAAATCCTCCACATATCACATTGGTGCAATAAAATGAACATACAATGATTTAAATACTGATCAAATGTTTTATATCCTAAATACTGATGCGCTGTCTGATGCGCCCATTTTGCACTTTGGTAGGAAATCCAATGCATGAAATGTATCAAAATCTGTATAATATGCCACGTTTTATTTCCATTCCACCAGGTGGTATTTAACCCTTTATCTATCACTCTGCACTACATCGGGAGCAGCACCTTTGACCCACACAAAAACATTTCATTTTTTCTTTCCCCAAAATATGTCAGAAGGTCCACATACCCTAACATCAGCATCACCACCATGACTGTATGCTTCTTTTGTGAAGTCATGGCTCTGTTGATATAATGAAAGGAGGGGAAGGTTAATGAAAGGGGTTATTAAATGTCATGTCAGAGTGGTTTCCCACAGCATTACACACAATCTTCTGAAAAATAACTTGCTCACAAATAAATCAAAAAAAAAAAAAAAAAAAAAAAAAAAAAAAAGAACAGAAATCCACTTGCACTTGACATCAAACTATGTCCCACTTAAATCATAAAATTCATGTAAATATGTTTTTAACAATCATTCTTGAATCCATATGCAAAATGTTGTTTAATGTATGCAAGACATATCGATTTGTGTCTCAGTCTTTTTCTTTTTTTACTTATAGAAATGACTTCCTTCTCAAAAGTGTCTCTTAGCAAAACATTTCAAGCAAGACTAATTTTGTGTTTAATCTATCAAGCAACAGGTCATGCACTTTATGCCCATGTCCCCACTAATTATAGGATAAGATGTTCAATAAGCCCCCCCCCCCCCCCCCCCCCAAAAAAAAAAAGAATATGTTCAAATGTCAGTATTAACACCTTATAAATATTTGTGAGCTTACATCAAGTGCATTTTGGTTCTCCTCTGTTCTTTTCTCTATCTTCAGATCTTGTCACACTTACCCTGCTGCCAGTGTGGCGGCGCCGGTTTGACATGGGAGAAGTACTCTGGCTCCTCCTGCGGCGGTATTCGGGGCTGTAGGAACGAGAGCGTGACTTCCTCCGATGGGAATAGGACCGAGAGCGTGAACGGCTATAACGGCGGTTTGAGTGCCGCCTAGATCGAGACCTGAAAAAGATGGAGAAGAGGCATTGAATTTAACTGTACAACAAATGAGACAGTTATAGATGACAGAAAAGAGAAGGAAGAGGGAAGCTTCAAAGCAACTTAGTGACATATTTCAGCTCCCAATGAGCATTTGTTTGATAGCAATATAATGTGACTACAGTATCACAAAAGCCATTACAAAATGGAGACAACATACCTAGATTTTGACCGAGAACGGGATCTGGACTCAGAGCGTTTGGAGGCCCGGGATGGGCTCGGGGAGCCAGACCTGCTCTCCGACTTGACCCGAGCTGGACTCCCACGATCCGATTTAGATGGGGACCGTGACCCCTATTGCCACAGCAGCATGTTAACAATCTTCTCATGAACAAATTCATTTATTTCTTTACACAGAAACATAGAGTATGTTGTACACATACAGTTCACCTGTCTAAAATGCACAGCTTATGTACTGTGAAGGAAAAGGTTAGTAATTTTACAATTTCAATAATAAATATTTGGTGTACAATGTGGCAAGTCATTAGCCTTATATAATAATTGTACATGATAGGTCTATTTCCATGTCCACCTGGGCCATCAAGGAAAAAATAAAACATGCATTTTTATGTTACAGAAAGGGAGCATAGTAAAGAAAGGACATACGTGACACAAACAGTATATTTACTTAACCTAGAGACACATTCATTCTTCCAGATTCTTTACACGCTACTCCCTTTTCTCAGGATTTCTATCCTTCTTCATTCTTCTTTTTTCAGTTTTCTCATTTTCTGATTCCGGGTCTGTTTTTCCTCTCTTCACCCAAACTGAAACCAGTTTCATTTTAGCCATTACACTGCAAGCGCTTCTATCTGACACCATTCTTCCGTCACATTTCCTCCCTTTCCACTTCTATGTTCTGCTCTGTACATGTTTTCATTAGCCTTCTTTTATCTTGAAAATTTTCTTCATCATTCTTGGATAAAACTCTTCAAATCCTTCACGATCAATAACCTTAATGAAAAAAGAACATTCAATAAAATTAAGATCATAGGTTTAAGGAGAAAATCTTAAATGAAAAAGAACACTGAATGCAGTACAATTACATTAAGTTTAATATTCAAGAAATTATGTAAATGAGCAAAGTTACAACAATTTAAATTATGTGGTAACAAGTAAAGGTCTTAGATATATTATGTGTTTTAGCAGTGTTTCAGATTTCCAATTCAGAGCGTGAAAGCAGGGAAGGAAGAGTGGCTTAGGACTACATCTAAATAAATACTAGAACAGACAAAACAAAAACCCAGGTGGCCAATGTGCAATGACGGTTTCAGCAATAGTAGTGATGTCCGCATTAAAGGCCGTCATAAAAACGTCGCAGATGGCTTGTAATAAATTTCATGTACAAATTAGTCAAATGCTATAAATTAAACTGAAAACGCAAAATTAGGTCAACTTCCTCCTCCAACGTCGCTAGCAACGTGCAGTGGGATCAGTAAAACCTTAAGTGCTAGCAACGTTGGAGTTTGGATGAAGCAGTCTTGCTAGCAGAGCGGGAACCGTTCATGTAAAACACTTTCGATTACATGCTCGACTAGAGTCAGATACACAGCAGCACTCCTCTAACACAGGCGAGCCAACAAAGCGTTTAACGTCGACGTTAAGCTATTCATTTAGCATTAGCTCAAATTTACATTAGCTAGCGGTGAATTCCCCTACAGTGTCCTTTATCGGCAGCCACACGGAAGGAAAGGAAAAGGAAGAAAATGAGATATTTGGTATCATTCGACGTGCCCACTTACCCGTGCTTCGCAGTTTCCATCCTCAATGTCGCTCATTGTTCAGTAAAGCTAACACGACCGCGTATTTTGACAGAAATAATCTGCAGTGGTTTACACAATATTTTGTTCTAGCTGGTTGTTAGCAAGAAGATGGCGCGTGAGGTGGGTGTTATGTTTATGTACTGCAGAATCTGACGTCATCTCCTTTATCATCGCCCACGCCCCCTTCACATAAAATCCAAGGCGCCCTTGAACGTCTCATAACACACCCTGAAAACTGTTAAGAAAGGGTGGTAATACAATACCACCACGCCATGAAAATCACTCCATTACAAATAATAGTCTTGCATTGAAAATGTTCATAAGTAAAACTACTCGTCATGGAAACTGCTCCATTCAGTGTTACATTTACTCAAATAATAATGAAAATGTATTCTGTAAGAAGCATTTAAATGATTACACAGTACTGTTGGGTAGCCTAATTTCTAATATTGGATCATATTTTATAATCTGAACATATTTTATACGTACAATTCTTATCTAAAAAGTTATTAGTTACTTTATTTGACAGTTGTCAAGTTAAAATAGCATTAAAGTTAAGTATAAGTGAGTAAAAGTGTAATACTTGTTAAGTCTTGTGACTCTCTATCACTGCCCATGATAACCCAAGATTTAACTGGTAAATTATTATATCAATGACCTCAGCATTTTTCAGTGGGGTCAGTAAAACTTGAATTGAAAACTTATACATACACACACACCTCTTAAGGACACATTTAGGATGCCCTCTTTGGAAACCACAGGGTGAATATTTGGATAGAACCAAATAAAGCTAGATTCTTTGTGGGGCACATCAGGTCACAACTAAGATCCCCTGAATGACATTAGACATATTTTTTTGTGTCAAATTTAATTCATAGGTATTAAGCGGAGGGTGATCAGGGATAATTTTTCCATGAGGTCAATTTATTAGTAAAGCTATCTCACAGCAGCTGGTGGGCTCATCATCATTTCTACTTTAGCATTATGAAGCAAAGTACAGTTATGGTGTCACTAAGTGTAAACACAGTCAAACCAAAGATCAATAAATTCATTCTATAGTGACCACAACATACATACAAGTTTGTAATATGTCCGCAACATTATGAAGCAAAGTAAATGGGCAATTATGACTACTAGTTTACATTTTAATCACATTCTTTTTCATGTTTTAGTTTTCCATCCACATTGACTTTGTCTCATACCATCCCCAAGTAATATTGATTAAAGTATTGCCTATTTTTCTGGCAGGACAAAGTCATCATGTAAATGAGCATTGTGATGAGCAAATTATAGATTTTCTACCTCTGGGCAGGACAGGATGAGGTATTTTGCCAGCATTTCAAAATATTATAGGAACCATACTCAGCAGGCAGGCTGGAAGAATGAATATTTCAAAGCCTAAAACATACCTAAAGTCAAAGTTGGATGAGCCCAGTATTTTTAGAAAATCTCAAGAGTCACAGTGCAACATGAACCCTGAACATGTGTAAGCAGTAGGTCAGCCATCTGAACAGCATTACAGGGCTAAATACTGACCACACAGTACATTCAATCTGTTCCACATCTACATTAAAAACATCTCTCAACACCTGGTATGGGAACTGTTGGATTACAACTGAGACAAATCACACACACGCTCATGTTTACAGTAGCAAATAGACATCGTTCCATCATATTCTGCATAACCCCCAAATTGTTTCGCAGCAACTGTATACATTTATACTTCCTTCAGATGGAGTGCATATAACATTCTTTGGATTATCTCTTATAGGTGAACTATAGAGTTTAATGATCCTTAAAATCACTACACGTGTAGGTTAAAATCTTATTCAGTCTTATCTTATTCATATGTATTTAGCAACCACACCAGCAAAAAACTGAAATGTTGCTATTCCTAACTATCATGACTGTACTGTTTAGTTCAGCATTTTGATATGTTGAAGCAGTATTGTAATTATTTTTACAATTTAGACAGAGAAACATTTTAAGCCATGTTTTATGATAAAGCGTATGAGATTCAATTTGAGTTCCAAAAGTTTATACCTCTTTGCTTTCACTTAAACAGTCACAAGATTCAAATGTGGCATTATAAAAAATGCTAAAATGTAAGCCGAATAAAATCAGCAATGAAAATATAAAAATGCACTGGATAGTCTTGGTAAAAAAAATAAATATCAGCATATGATAGGACAGAGCATGAAAAAGTCCTCTCTCTTCTTAGATGCATCCCAAATTTGAAGTTTCTGGATGTCCATGTGTCTCCCTATTGCTTTCCAATTGTCTGATGTTACATCAGTGATAAATGCTGGAAAAGTGTGATGTGCTAAAAACAAAAACTCTATTCATCTATCAAAGCTATGCTCCTTGATGTGGTCGAGGCCTATTAGGCATGTGTGGGTGAAGGCGGGATGTCCCTGGATGGCTGGAGGCCAGGACGCCCCCTGCTGTGTGGGAAGTGTTAGTGGAGGAGGCATTGACCACCAATTCGATTTTGCCCTCCAGTTTGACCAGCCGCGTTAGGATGTCATCCAGCAACACAGCTATAGTCCGCTTCAGATCAGCTGTGTGTGTATAAGAGGAGAGAGAGAAAATACAAGGGAGAAAAAAAAAATCAATGCTTTTTCACAGCTATGAAACACAGTGTTCATACAGGATTAAGCAAGTTATTTTATGTGCATGAAAGACAGTGGTAACCCCATTTGTTGTACAGCATCAATCCAAACTTCTTCTAGAATACTTACCATAACCAGCCATGGAGGTTCCCTGTGGCCCACCTGGTGCGTTCTGGTTCTCCTCTGTCAGGACCTTAACATATCGCCGACTGAGCTCCAGGATCTGCTCACGCAGCTCAGCACTGCTCTGATGTCGAGGCTGCTGCACGGTGTAGCGCAGCAGCATAAGACCCCATGCCAGGCCGAATACCAGCAGCAGCACGCTCAGCTTCTGGGACATGTTCCTCCGCAGGAGTGCACCCAGCATGATACAGGGGGCGGTGAAGGGGAGGGGCACTAAGGAGGCCTGGTCTGTGGCTGACGGTTTTATCTTTGATAAAAATTGTGACAGTATGTTGATTCCTGCAAGGAAATTCTCTTCTCTGTTGTCCTTATCCACAGAAGTCAGAGGCTAACGTCCGCTACAAGGCATTCCTAGAGCCGGTGTGGATTCAGTGTCTCAGTCAAATAAACCCCAGCAGGGCCTGTGCTTGTGCAATACCCATACAGTTGAAGAAGTCTCCCTAACCACTAGAGCATCCTGTCTCTGCTAAGATGTGAGAAAGTGACTGAACAACGGCAGATGCCAGGAAGTGGATCAACACAGAAGCTGATGCCCAAAGACACCAATAGTCAGGGGGTTTTGGGAAGGTCTTGTGGTTTCAAGATTTCTAACACCAAATGATGAATGTAGATTCGGCCTTCAGGCAGGGGGTCCACAGACATTGTTGACTATGTTGGAAAAGTACACCAAGAAAGACAGAAGAGATTAAAATTAACAAGAAAGAAACACACGTTATTATTGGTTTTTTTTATAGATTCATTTAGCAGAGATAAAGTCATAAATTGGCAAAAGAATCTGACATTCTAAATGAAAAACCATTTAAAGTATCATTTATGCAGCCCATCTATGTTAACTCATACTAGCCTCAGAGGCCTGCTGAGAATTGTGGATTTTAATGAGAAGATCTGTGAAGATTTCTGAGTGGATAAATGCAATATTGTCCAACACACACAAACACAACCGCATGTGCTGGATGAAGAACAAAATCCACCTCATCATTATTGGCAAGGAGCTGGTGGCTACTTCAAAGTGGCTTTCTAGACTATTTAGCTATTATAAAAGACAGATTTCTTTTCTGCTTTGGGTCAAGGTGCACAATAGCCCACTCATCAACAAATCTTTTTCAGCCCTCTTAGCCCAGAAACCTGATTACCAGTTTAGATTTCATGGGACCCACTTTATAGCTCTAGATAAGAGAAGCAGCAACAGACAGAGGCATAGAGGGCATTCAGTCTCTAATCCCATCTCCACAATGGTTATTGGACTGACAAATGGCCCGAGAGTGCACTGTGCACATGCAGGGGAAATTAGACAGTCATTTCTCAGTTTTCACAACTTTGTCACCAAGTTCATTCTCTGTCCTCTCTCTTGGGTGTGGTAGTTTCACTATTGAGGCCTGAGCTGGGGCAACAACTGAGGGAATAAATTATGAAAAGAAAAGTAACAGAATACGTTTAATGATGCTTCACAGTGTCTCTCTCTCTCTCTCTCTCTCACACACACACACACACACACATCCTTCCTATGACATAGTTGCTACTGTATATCAGCACTCAAGGGCAAAGTAAAAGCAACAGCTAGAAGTACACAGGAAGCAAAATGTGTTCTGACACACATGCAAATGCACTTCCAAGCTCTACCACCTACTACATGTGTTTCAACCTTCTAGTCTCAACAAGCAACTGACTAATGTTTTTGCATAACCTTCTGATGACGAAATGTATTCATATTAACTAAGCTAATTTTAACCATTCACCAAAGTGCTACACATTTCCAAGAAACAATAAAAGCAGCAGAGTTATCTTACAGATACATCTCTGCAGATAATGCATGGCACACAGCAACCATATACACAATCAAGAACAGATAATACTTCAGGCTCGAGTTAAAACTCTCTGTAGAAGGTGATATGTTAACAGATAAGAGTAAGCTATGTCAACCACAGGGCAGAACCTAATAAGCCTTCAAGATGATTTTCTGCGCCTTCCATATGTCAGTCAATAGATATTCATCTCAGGGTTTACACTTGTTGACAAACAGAAGAGTTTTGGTATTCTGACACTGACTTGCCTTCACTCTCATGCTATTCACCAGACCCAGTCATTGTTCTATGGAAAGGCACACCATTTAGGCCACAACCAATGAATGACAATGAATGTTCCACTTGTTTAAATATAGTGTTCCTAATGGGATGATTGACAGTGATAAGGCACACGTTAGTAGTCCACCTACCTAATCTAGAAGTTGAATATTGACCACAACACCTGTCACGTGTGACTCAGCAACAGCTGGCAGGGTCAGCGATAAATTTAATCTGATGATCTGCAGAGTTTAAACTAAAAATTGAAAATATTAATACTGTTAGGGAGGAGGTGGTAACGGATATGAAGGTTTAGGTGCTGTGCATAAGACGATAACAGTTACTTTGAGACTCCAACAGTGTAAACACACAGTCCTGGGGACTAACCACAGATTGACATCTTAGCTAACATGTTGACTTGCTCAACTTATGACCACACGAAGTTACACTAATGCATGGACAGTAAGCCAACCAAAACTTCGGTAACGAATGTTGAGAAATGAAGGATGCACTAATGTCGAACACTTAGTTTTAATACTTTTCGCCTAAAATTGATTCTTTTAAATATTTGTTAGCAGCCGCTCGAGCTCAGACGAAGCTGTTTCCAACTCCACTAACATTTCATGTTAGCTCGACATGTTAGCTCGGCCACACTCAAACTTGGCAGTCCAAAAACAAAAACGACAAAAGGGCGAAACATTATCTGCAAATGTAGTAATTCCCATTACAAACAGACTATTTACCCCCGTATGTTGGCTTAGAGGCTATCTTGTGGCTGAAGCAGGAACACCAGACTCCAAAGAAGCAGGGACGAGACGACTGTGAGCTCCAGCTGCTACCTCTGGCTGACACTGAATGATGCTTGTTGTTTGACAACCCTGGGCTGTTGTTGTTGTCGCTGGGGGAAAACAGCCCGCTGTCTCCTTTAAAATAAAGTTAGCTGCCGAGCTTCGTGTTGAGGTGTCTGTTCACTCTGGTAGTCAGTTCTGCTCCTTCCTCTCCAGTCTCGAAAACGATGAGGTCCTTGCACACGAAAGTCGGCAGCTAGAATTCCAAGCATGCAACTGTGCGGACTGTCATGGTTCCCCTGAACGTCTACTGCGTGCGTCATTACCACGGCATCATGGGAAATGTATTCATATTCATATAGTTGTAACATTTAGTGCAGGTAAGCCGTTAGGATACAGACCAGCTAAAGCTATAAGGCCATAACATAGCGCCAACTAGCGTTGTAAGTGTTGAGGATATTTGCTAAGCTACAAAGCTGCTAAAGTTAATTGTAACTAGCTTAATTTCTTTTTTTTTCTTTATCTCTCTCCAAGTGTGTGTGTGTGTGTGTGTGTGTGTGTGTGTGTGTGTGTGTGTGTGTGTGTGTGTGTATTTCATTATGATAATTATTTTATATTTCTTTTTTGCTGTTCACTTTGCGACCGTTAGAGGGACCTCTACATTCATTTCCATAGCAACCTCAAAGCTGGAGGTAAACAGTAGTTTGCTATGCAACACAAAGCCCGCAGTTATCAGTTTTGGATTTCTGACAATGGAGACAACATGTCTTGATAAATCGGCTTTAAAAGCAGTTGATGAGTACTGGGAGTACAGAAGGTTTGTCTCAACGTTAGACCGAATGCTTTTACGATAGATCTTGGTTTTAGCTAATCTCTGGAGGGTTTTTCACTTGGGAGCAAGCCACCAATATGCGACAGCTAATGCCAACTATCTGAAAATTCACTACAAATGCTGAAATAACATGATAACAATTTTGGTACAGGTTGTTCAGTTCATTGTGTAGGTTATTATATTTGCAACAAGTGTCTTTGCTGTATTTAATGGTGATTTGTCTTTTCCAAGGATTGTGGGTGATGATGATAGAGGTAGGCTGTTCACCCCAGAGCAGTATGAGGAGTACAAGAGGACGGTGCTCCCTGTTCGCATGAAAAACAGGCTGTATGTGAGCTATGGAATGCCAGGAGGTATCGACTGCAAACTAATTGGTCCTGAGACACAGTGCTTCTGTACACATAGGTAGTCCATTACAGCATTACAAATTATGTCAGACATCCTTCTCCCACAGACATAAGTACACAAATACATTTGTGAGTAATATAATCTCGTCCAGGTACAAGCAACATAAGACAGACTTTGAAGTGCTTCCCTCTGAGCGGCCCCTGGCCCTACCATGCCAGGTTAGGGGATGTCACTGTCCTGGATATCAGTATGTTCCTCGAAATGGGCCAAACCCTGTCCGCTGCAGGTGTAAACACCTACCTCAGGATCACAGTGAATCTACTGGCCACTTATGCAAGAAATGTGAGTCTCAAATCACTATGTTTAAAGACAACAGTAGTTCACTGGGGACCAAATTAAATTTTAACCAAGGGGAAATCATATATGTAAATAATGTTGAAGATAATTTTCACATGCCTGTTTCCTATTAACTCATTTTCAGGCAGTTCCTGTTCTGGGTTCCAGAGCCCCTACATCTGCGGGTGTGGCCAGCCCTGCTCTGCCCACCAGACCCTGGTGAGTAGAGTCAAACATCACACAGGCTCTTTCTAGACATAGCTTTACAATATTGCTACAAATTGCCCAAAGACACACAGATGCACAGTTCACATCATTTGAATTCAAATCACATTATTTTTTTGTAGGTTGAGACAAAACCCGAGAGGGAGGCGCGGGGTCAGCCAGTAGGCAGGGATGTCCCATATGCTGCCATGGGGGGGCTGACGGGGTTCAGCTCCCTATTGGACGGTTACCTCACTCTGGAGGCCTGTGGCTCAGGTACCAGATATCTAGCTGACATGACAATGTATCTCTATGTGCAATGAGAAGCCACAATAATAGATCCATCTTAAAATGTTCTTGTGCAGTGTGGTAAGTGAGTCTGGAACATTACTTGCATATGTAGTCATGTGGAGCAACATCAGGCTCCAGGCAGAACAAATACCAGTCAGTCTAATTCTCAGCTGAGATATTCTTTAATTCAAAGAGTCAGTGTTTTGGTGAAGCAGCCCTTGTTAGACTTTTGGAGCACAAAAGGTGAAGAAAGTTCCCTTCAGAGGCATGTGAGGGCAGCAAAGAGCAGCACAGCTTCAGTGTTGAATAAATAAGTCTGCAAAGCAGGTATTTGTTGAAGTCAAAAGTGTATTGTAGCGTTTTACCAGTATACATTTGTAGTAGAGCTGTGATGATACAAAAATACATGTCTTTCATATTGTTGAGAGATTGATTAGGTTCTTTTAAAAGACATTTTGTAAAAAGCATGCCAGGTTAAGTTTGCAAGTTATTTCAGACCAATAATGGCTTCCTCAATTTTTGACAGGTCATTTTCATCTCTTCTGAAAACCATGTAAATTTAATTAATGATTGAATGTGCAACATTAATTACATTTTTTATCCATTTATGTGTAGTTAATTATGCATGATTTAATATGCTATTGATTGATTACTCCACAGTTTGGCATTTGCTTTCCACACACATAGGTACTGAGTTAAAAGTCTGAAATGTCACATTCAAATATCCTGTGATTCAGATTCTGGTACAGGTAATGCACATACACAGCATACTGTTTATATTAAATAAGCTTCATACCTGTGAGATACATACCATTTTTCTCTTCGTACCAGATCTGATTTCCAAAATCTGCTGTATCTTTTCCAGACCAAGACAGAGAAGAGAGCTGCCAGCAGGGAAGCTCAGCATCCAGGATTAACCAAACATCTACGAAAGCATCTAGCTCTAAACAAACATTAAAATGAAATGTTCCTCTCAGAGTCCATCTGTCAAACTCTTATATTAAATATTGGACTATTGAAATTAACCATATCAAATAAATCACATGCAATTTACGATCTAAACACTTGAAAGCATTTTGATTGTTTTTAAGTATCTGCCTTTGTTATTGTCGTGACGCTGTAACATAATCAGCTGTCAAAGATGCAGTCATGTCAGTCATAAAATTAATATTTGCCAGTTGATACTCTAACCAACCCATGCTCACTTTTTTTCTAACAGTCCCTCATATTTACCTCTTATTCACCTCTATATGTTCTATAAATTGGTCAGTTTACACATCTGAGGTTTGTGTGATTGATGTTCCCTTATGGAGAGAAAGCCACCCACTCATCACGTCACCAAAATAACACCAGAACCATGGAGCTATGTGCTCAGTGATGAGCACAGTTTTTAATTTGCAGATAGATGTACCGTCTTCGATTGATTAATCCCATTCCTCACGGCAGATCAGCGGTGATGAGATGATTTAATCCATGCAGTGAATGGAGATTGAAGCAGGTCATGTTTTCTACATTGGTGGCCCACTTTCCAGCATCTGTAACTGAGAAATGAAATTAACAGGAATCAAAATCAGGATTCACTCCCACTCAAATGTTCCCACTGTGTGAATGGCAAGTCATACTAGATCAGCATCTACACTGGTGCTGGCCAGTGCATCTCAAGTCACCTCTGTTGTAATGTAATTATTACCTGAGGGAAGTTGGTGTATGTGTGTGTGTGTGTGTGTGTGTGTGTGTGTGTGTGTGAGCTGAACAGGTGGTCTTAAGGGAAAGGAAGTAGGGCTACACCTGAAGCACGACCTGGATGCACCTGAGTCCCATCTGTAAGCTGACACTTTAGATTCAGTGTGTAGCTACGATGACTATAGTATCAGGTTGTCACAAGATAAAGCATGTACACACACATCCACGGCTGCATACACGCTTTAAACCAATCATGTTTCCCCTTCGCTTCTCAGAAGAGCTTTGTTGACTGCTTGAATCAAGTGTCCTTTAGAAAACACTTGACCTGTTTCCACAGCTTACTCCTGGACATTTTTTGTGACAGAGGGGTAGAGGCAGTCGGTGGAGAGGGATGGGGAGAGAAAAAGCGAAAACCCAATTAATTTAAGAGGTAAAGGCCTGACACATTAGTCTGGCACAATTACAATTTAGGGTAATTGCCTCTCCATGGCAACCCTGTTTAGGAAGCTACAGGTAATTTACTTTGGTCATTGGTTGAAGGGAATGACTACTACACTTCCCTTATCCCCATGGAAACCACGCCCAACTTGACTGACAGCTCTGACACTACAAATCAGGAGGCGAGCATGGAAGATTAAATTGGCAATTACAGTGCAAGGAAACACTTAATTACCCTGGTGACAGTTACGGTAAGCACACATCGACTTAACTGGTGACGAAGAACACACTCCCCTAATTTCCCCACTGACAGAGAAAGAGGTAACAAAAAACTCAGGGGTACTGAGTAACACAACAGACTGACAGGTGCTGACAAATCACTTAAAATTGTCAAGACATATTCTCAACCAGATGCTAATGAGAAGAAAAATACAGCTTGAAATAGAATTTTCCAAAATGCAAAAAAGACAGATTAGAACATCAGCTCCTTTACTAACAGTGTAGTACCTGTAGGCTATATACAATATATATATATATATATATATATATATATATTAATATATATATATACTGTAGGCTAGAATCCATTTGGATGTGAAAGCTAAAACAAATGATGTGAATCCATAAAATCTGTTGGCTCAAATTTACCATCCAAACCTTTACTTCCATTCTTTTGTTTTTCCTTCAACTGACTATAATCAATATAATGATATTAAAGAACTGCATGTCTGATCTATGTAGTGGTAGTCTTTGCTCTACGGAGTGTGTTAGCACCTTTTAGCTAACTGTTTTGGTTTTTCAGCCCGCAGCTTTAATGTTTTGGTTCACTCACTGTTCTCATTGGCAATGTTTTTGAATAGAACAGGCAGCTGCATCAGTAAAAAGGCTTTAAAAAAAAGTCCCTGTACACCTGCACTATACGCCCAGCTCCACACAGCAGGCAGTAGAAGTTAGCAGCTAGCTAGTGAACATAGTGGAGTGTTTAGCAGCTAATTAGTTGGTAGAGATGAGAAACAGAATTAAAGGCAGTGACTGTCAGGTAGACACAAACACTAATGTTGCTCCGTCTGCTGGATTTGTAAATAGGCAACAGCTAAAAGCAAAAGGTAAAAGAAAATTATGTAATGACCGAGAGATAAATATTATAGCATTAACATTAAGTTTGAGGGTGTATTAATTTACCATACCATATTAATGGTATTAATGCAGATAAAATAAACACACGTGAACAAACAAACAAATATGATTTATCCCATACCTATGCGTTATTTCCTGATGTGAATATACATTTTATTTTTAAATTCATTTCAATGTATTATTGTTCACATATCACAACTATACTATGAACATTAAAAGACTCAAGGTCGACAATCCAGACAGCTGTCTGTGGTAGCCAAGCTTTGTATCAGCTTTTAATTAAATAATGGATCTCTAAGCAATTTTCAAACATCATCTCTGATTTTCACTGCTTCTCTTTCCTCCAGGTATCCTCCTCTGATTATCCGAAGAATCAACCTGTTTTCTGTTTAGGACAGATCACGCAATACAGCTTGTTCTGATTCGAAGGACAAAAAAATCCATCACAGTCTTCTAAAACTGTAGCACAACCCTACGTATGATTTTGATTCAGAACATCACGTGTGTGTGTGTGTGTGTGTGTGTGTGTGTGTGTGTGTGTGTGTGTCTATTCCCTCTCTTTTGTGGAAGAAACAGTGGGAAATAGACAATGCAGCGACTCTGCTTCGATAACCTCCTGTGGTGGCAAACTTGGGGAGGAGGATGGAGAGCGAGTCGTGAGAAATGGATTTTGCTTTTTCACAAAGCACTGTGATAATGAACAGAAAGGGATGTTGTATCGCTGGGTTAAATCAATAGTAATGTTTGACTAACAAAAGTGTTTAAACACCTGCAGGCACACCACACACACAAACTCATGCATGTACACGTATTAATGTAGTGCATCTAACACATACTTAGCATGCTGTATGTTTGAAAGGACGTTTAGGAAGTTAGTGCTAATTCTTGTATCAATAGGGCAGAGTTATCAGTACCACTTAGCAATGACATAAAAGGTTTACAAGAACATATTGTTAAAGGACTAAGTCAACAGAAAACAGTAGTACTTTCATGTCATTTCTGCTGTAATAAATATAAACATGTTATTATTACTTTTTTTCTGTAGAGGGTCAAACCAGGTACTTACTTTAAGAGAAGCCACAGAACAGAGAAGTTCACCAGAGTTCTTATTCTTGTGGTCTAATTTTCATGAGTCTAAAGAAGTTGGCGTTAAACTCTAAAGCACTAATCTATTTGACAAATGTTACAAAAAACTGTGTCCATTTTGTGGGGGAAATTATCATTCATTGGATATCATTTAAAATTCAGCTAATCTTTTAAGAATTGCCTCAAAATACAACAAGTTGTCAGTGAAATATAAGTGCAGAGCTTCACGTATAGAGTTGCCTTTACAGATTGGAGTAGTATTTCAGACCTAAATAAATACTTGCTGTTCAATACATAAAGATATTGTTAATTTTTTTAGGAAATATGCTTCCTTGCCAAGAGTAGTAGGAGTTCAATACTACCCTGTCCATTATATGGATAACATCAGTAGCAGGTTAGCTTAGCTTATTATAAAAAAAACTGGGAAACAACTAGCCTAGCTGTGTGCAAAGGTAACAAAATCTGCCTACTAGCACACAGGTGTGTTTCTAAGAGAAGTACATTTGACTGTTGGACTACTGTGTTTATTCACTCCAAACAAAGAGCCAGTGTGACAACTGTACAGAAGTTAGCCGTAAGTTAGCTAGCATGAACCAACATTTGCATTCAGCTCAGCCTCTGATTGAACATAGAAATCTCAGAAATCACTTAAAACTCACCAAGAAATGTCTGGGTCTTTCTATTCTTTCTCTCTCACTCGTCCTCCCACCTTGTATGTTTATGAGGGAAATTTAAAAAACCCTGTTGTTTGCAATTTGTTTTTTGAAAGTTGTAACATCTCCAATTCACAGGGATGTTCCTAAAGCTTGTTATTTAAACAAACAAAATATTTCGATAGAGACAGGCTAGCTGTTTCCCTCTTTTTCCAGTCTTTAAGATAAGATAAGCTAATCAGCTGCTGGCTATAACTTTAAATTTAACTGACAGATATGAGAGTGCTATCGATCTTGTCAATTAATTGTTGGCAATAAAGCTAAAAAGTATGTTTTCTAAGGCTATTTCTTTAAAACACTTTTTTTTCCCTGGTCAAAAATTATAGGCATAACTCTAAATTAAGATAAATAATTAGATAACAAGATAGGTAATAAATAGATAATGAAACAATGAGATTAATGCCCATCTTGTATCAAGACTCATTTTTGACCTGGTCTTAATTCAAAGTGTATTGTCAATAGTTGTGTAGCATCTGAATCATCACTTTTATCAGAATCATCACTTACATCTTAAACCACATTAAGTAATTCCTAATTACTATACTGTACCTACTATTTATTACTTCAGTGTGAGTCTGCTCCTTATGAGTGTGTCCTTGTGAGTAACTGCTTTCGCTCAGAGAAATTCAGCCATCTGCACCCCGCCTCTACCAGCTACCTGAATGATAACATTAAATCTGGAAATTGCTTTAATTTGAGGAATAAGTATTTGTACACACTCAATGGCTGACTGACAGCCATGTGGAAAAATATGTTCTTTCATGAATGCTGCACACACTTCAGAATTGATGCTTTTAACCGCTTTCTAATGCATTAGGTGGACTGCTTAAATCATACATTTCCTCTCCATTATTGAGCTTCTCGTCTGTGAAGCCAGCACATAACATGGTCTCTAATGTGCTGGTAATATATTTAACCTTCCTGCAACAGTGCTTATCACATTAACTCTTCAGACCTAGTGTTGTCAAAAGTGTTTTCAGCAGACATATTATAATGTGAAACCTCAACAGTGACGAGATTTAGGCATTGTGATGTCCTTCTTTATTTGTGCTTAATGTCTTGTGTTTGAATATGTTTAAT